ATTAATAATAATGATAATTTCTTTATTATAGATAACTAAGATCCATTTTTGTTAGTAACAATTGACTTAAACTATGTTAGTAGAAAATAAAATGCAAAACAAATCATTTTATGGCCCCTATAATAATTTTGACCCACAATGAGAGGATCGAACTATCGTATTTATTACATAATGCCCACAGAATGCTGTTACCGCTGCCACGCAGTCGGTATCAAAGAGATGCGATCCGTTTGCGTCTGATGGCATAGACTTCCTCTTTGCAGAAATACACTTATTTCAGGAGGAGATAGTTTCAATGTTATCAAACTGTTTGAGGCCAACTTTTTAATTAATTAATCTAATTTCATTTCAGCCGTTAACTGTCTACAGCTGAACATAAGCCGACCTCATAAAAAGAGTTTTATTGATGAGTAAGTGTTCACAACCGCAGTTAGGTGGGGAGAAAGGGATTGTTAGTAATGGAGACTGAGAATCACATTGCTAGCAATATACCCAACCAGGTCGACCTCCTCGCGGTTCCCCTTGGAAACTATCAGAGTTAATTCCTGATGAATTCATCATGATGGGCTAACTGGCCTGTTTTCATTCTCATCTATCACCCTTCACTGGTGCTCCGCCAGCGTATCCCGTTAGCGCAGGCGGGGTTACCATACCATTTTCACCAAACAAAAAAAAAACCGCAGTTAGGTTTTTAGAAACAACTGGGTTGCAAAACTTGCCATTTTTTATGTTTAGTAACAAGCATCAATATAAATAAATATATTTTATTATATAAAAAAATATTTTTTTTTTATCTTATATTTTAAGCGATGTTTATTGTACAATATATAACTGAATTTTGTTGGATGTAGCAATATCAACAATATAAAAGATAAAGTTTATTTATTTATGTTATTATTCATTTATTTAATTAATATATTTAATTTGCATGCCTACAATTTTAAAGCAATTAAACACATGCTAAAAGTTAAATATCTGTTTAAAACAAATAAATATTTCATTTAATTTATTGCCGCTAAATACCGACTCGTAATTTATCTAAATTGTTTGTCAAACGTAATGTAAGAGGAAGTGCTTTAGAAATGTCCTTGAAACTGTCACTAGATTGAGTACTCTCGATTTTTGTCTTGTTTGTTTTTTATAAGCTTCATTGTGCATTCATATTTGCAACAAATAATAGATTATAGAGAAAATGACAGTGTACACAGGCTAACCTATCCCTTGAAGGGATTATTTCCAGTCAACCTTGAGAACCCGGAAGGAGAAAATATGTATAGGGTTTGTATGTAAATCGTGACATCTATCTTGTTTGGAGTTACCTTTAATTTCCCGCGACGATATCATAAACAATGACGATGGAATGAATGAATGAAGACACTTTATTATTCCCTTCAAGGAATTATATGAATAAATGATTATGCATGAATATTTAAAAACGTCTCTATACAAATACATATGTTTTTGTTCCATATTTTATTCTGGCGGTCAAAGCGTACGATATTGAATCTACCCACTCGTAGTAATAAATTATAAAACCGCCCTTTGTTCATTACCATCAAGATAATGACACTGGCAGCTAATCACTTATCTTCTACCACTTCTGGCCTCCTTTCTCCGATCGTACAACTGATGTAGAGTTGCATTGTATGATGTAAATTGGCATCTCTAAAAACTTTTAATTAACATTTTATTCATAACGCCAAGCTCTTGTCGTCTAGATCTACTTCAGATTCATAACGATTATAAAGGGATTTCATTACACTACCGGGATTACAAGGTTGCGTTTTAAGTTAATACGAAACATAATCCGTTATTCGACCCAAGTGATCGCGCATTTAAACTTAATATCAAAGATTTAAGGATTAATAAAGCCGACTTCGGTAGTAATGCCAATTAAATTTGTACTCTATAATAATAAATATAAAGACCGTACCTGAAAACTGAGAGACGCTCGACAACATTGAAAGTCCTGAATGACGGCTGTGAGAAGGATGGATCATCCCGATGGAGTAAATTTCGGTATCTTCAAACTGCCACATGACTGATCAGTTACGGTTAGCTTTTAATCGAAAATCGAGGAACCAACAATAGTATCAATTGACACCCTTTGTAAACTTATTTATTTTAAGTACAAAGGATGTTCACATTAAAAGGAATGTCAGGGCCTTTAGGAAATCCCTCTACGAATATTAATTCATCGATAATTTATAACGCTTCTATGGTAAATATAATACTTTTTATCACAAGGTGTATTAAAGCGATCATATTGAGTGATGTGTGAAGATATGCATATGTACGTGACGTGCGCACTGCGCGGCGGTTGCGGTGCGACTGAGCTCACAACCCGGATCGCGTCGACGGGGGCGAGGGTGGGCAGAGAAATTTGGGTTGGTGTGAGGGTAGGTGGGTGGTGGGTTGACGACGTCATGGGAACCGCGCTCCGGGCCCGCGGGATCTTGTGCCAGCCATATCTATTGAATAACGTGCCTTTAACGGTATCCGTTTAATTTCATGCGCCCTTAAAGCAAAAGAGAGTCGTTTATGAATGATTAATTGACATGTAAGAAAACAATTCAGTTTTTTTTTTCTAGTATATTTTTTTGTCACTTTGTTTCAATTATTTACAGTAATCTAGTACTTAAGTATGTGGTGCAATAAAGCATAATGAATTTAATTATAAATTATATAATTATTCCCTATTATTTCAAATTATATATTTATGAATATATAGTACTTATTAATAGTAAAATATTATGAATATAAAAATTGCAATAATTGTGGAAAAAAAAATCAGTCAAAAGTGGATATTTTAATTTATAATCCAATGTACATTTTTATCTGTTTTATATGTTTTTTATGATACTTAGATTGACAGACTAGCTGAGGACCGACCTAATGAAAAATGATCTCTGTAACTGGAGCTCACAAATAATTGTTTATTATTATGATTACCATAATAATTCATTAAAAATTACACTGCTAGGCATGAGTCTCTTCCTGGCTCTATCTAAGAGGACACAAGGTATGATGAACCTGTTGGCCACATGATTTGGCATAGTTTTCTTTCCCTTATACTAGTATATTATGATTTGTTCCCTTTTTCACCTCTTACAGCATTTTGAGAAGAAAAAGTAATAATGTCCCATAGTAAGGAACTTAATTTGGAATAAGGCTTTACATCCATTTTGAAGGAACCAATATAACAACAAATAATGACACATATAAAAAATAATAAAAGAATTCATCAATTATGGTAAAATTTAATAAAAAACTTTGTAGCATTCCAAGTATGTTTGATATATGACTTCTATGAGTTTTTTTTATACCACTGAGGTGGCAAACAAGCATACGGCCCACATGACGGTAAGTGGTTACAGTACCCTATGAACATCTACAATACCAGAGGTATTATGTGCGCATATCCAACCCTGAAGAAACCTATTTACCCCCCTTTTGAAGTACCCCATGCTGTTGTTTGTTGGGAAAACCTCAGCAGGGAACTTATTCCACAACCTGAGTGTTCGTGGGAGGAAACATCTCTGAAACTGTGATGTAATCATTTAATTATATTTTAAAGTCTCTGGCTATACAGTCGTTTTCTTTATACTGAATAAGTACTTACCATTTGTATGTTTAATTGTTTATTAAACATACAAATAGTAAGGGCTTGGGGTATGAAAAATAAAATAAGATATAATATAAAATCTTTTTGGATATTGACACATCTTTAGACTTATTCTCAATACAACTAAATATTATTCATGTACTTTTATTATTTACATATGTAGGTATATAGAGCTGTTTTTATTGTACTATATATTAAATTTTTTTACTGGGTATTATTTAGTTTATCTTTAATTGTACGGTTATTGCCCTTATACATTCTACAGTTTTCTTTCAACTTCTCAAAGGTTGACTGTAAGAGATCCCTTTATGGGATAAGTCCGCCATTGTATATTAAATCATTTATCAGTGTTCAATCTGTGTTATGTACAATAAAGATTTTATAATACAATACAATACAAAAATTTTAATAATAAATAGATATTAATGCATAATCAATTCCTCAAATTATATTTGTAGATGTTAAGTTTCAAAAATAATATTGCTTGTAAATTTATACTTAATTATGTTTAAACAGATCATCATGTTCAGTAAACTATCAGTCAAAATAATCATAACTAGCTTTTACATGTGACTTCATCTGAGTGACTGGGATATATTTACTGATTGGAATATAAAGCAGCCTTCCTTTTCCACCCTATATAGCTTGTATATTCCAATTTTCCTAGTGATTGATTGAACTTTTAAGGTGCTATAAGATAACAAAAGAAAGTACTCACTCTCTCATTTACAATGTTAATAAGAATTACACAATATTTAGTTACTATTTTAAGTGAGATCTATGCAAATTGAATAATAATTTCCCATTAATATTACAGATAGAAAGTAAAGTTCTGGAACATTAATTTTCATATTCAACTAAGCTGACTGCTCATCTGATGGATATTGTCCCAAAACAATATCGATTTTACTTTTCATGCTATCGTGCCTCCTATAGACATGACCAATACCATGGATTATACAAGGTATACTACATAACACCCACAGCATTCTTATGTGTAACCATTCCTAAGAACTATGGTAATACCATATTCGTACCATGTAAATTCACTGCTATATTCCATTCTTCAAACCTAAATACTAAAGGTTGTCTGGAAGAGATTGCTTAGCGATAAGGCCGCCTTTTGTATCACTTCTCATTAATATTTACTGTATTTGTTATTTCTCTTTTTACTTGGTGCAATAAAGTGTAAATAAATAAATACTAATGCAGGTACAGCAGCTTCATAGACGAGACACGAGTGGGGCAAAAGATACCCAACCAGATGACTTATTTAATAAATTTATTCGTAGACTTTTTAAAGCATTTGAGGAAAGTATATAATGTTAAATAAAAGATTATTATATTTACTACAAATCTATTAAGAAATACTTACCATAATCTCTGAATAGTTTCTTGTAATCTGCTAGATCGTTCTGCTCTAACCATTCGTCCACTCGCAAACTCTCGTCTTCAAATATTTCAGTTAATACTAAGCGCGCTAAATAAATAATTAAACATAGAAACAGTGTAGTGCCGTAATAGTTAATTTGTTTGTACATATTTATTTAATCATAATAACATTATTATATCGAAAATTTAAATTCGCGAAAAATAAATAAACAAGGACGGCCTTAAATGTTTTTGACAATGACATTTTATTGACATAATGTCATTGCAGTTTACTGCAGAACGTTCCGTTTCATGCTTGTATTTATTGTGACATTACTAAACTAACTTTTATCCACGACTTTATATTGAATGTAAGAAAACTAATGAAATAGAACATATCAAGACAAAACATGTACTAGATTTTAAGGTAAACCTTCAGAAACACAACTATGAATACCGACTTCAATTTGGAGCAGTAATTTTTGCAGGATGCTAAAACACATAACAATATATATTCAAAAATTCCTAAAAATATTTATATTAAATCTCCCAGGAACAGGCATTATCTTTATACAAATTTATTATATGTATATTATAATATATAAAAAAAATACCTGAAGTATATAGAATCGGGTTAAATACATTTATTATAACATTGTATGTTAGCACATTAGATTTATAACATTGATTTGACTTTTGCTGTTATAATGCTATAATTATTTTTAATGAATAATTATTTTTAATCGGAATAAAAACTATCCTATGTCTGCGATAAATCTGAATTTTGTAAATATGCACTGAATGTTTCAAACATTTGGTACGCATTTAAAAATTTCATTAAAATCAGTTGAGTGGTTAAATGTAAATAAATGTGAAACAGGATTTTTATACACTATCATGACATTAAATCAATCTGCAATTACATTCAGACTATTTTTTAATAAATAAGACTTCCTTGCCATGTATAGAAATACAGTGAACACTTTGTATAAGCAACTCATTTGAACCAATTTCAATAAAAAAAAGTTCTTATTGTGAAAAGTTGCTTACATGGAAAAAAGGAGAATAAAAATACTATCTGAAAAATAATTTTATTTATTTTCTTTACTAAGTTGAGTAGAATAAATAAAATATAAAGAATATTGCTTATAGAGAGGTTGCTTATATAGAGTGTTCACTATATAATTTTCAAAAATTGTAGAATAAGGTTTTTGTCTTGAGTTTGATTCATATTTCAATTAATAATTCTACTGAAATAAAACACATTTTGTGTGAGGTCCAATAAAATTCTAATATAAATTGATTCATCATATCACAAGGTGTGCTCCGACAGTCTATGGTCTGTGTAAAGCATACATATTCACAACAGGTCTTAAATTAACGAGATTTACTTCTTGATCTTGATTTTATCCGCAAGGGAACAGGACAGGCCCGTACCGTCAGGCTCTACATTCAGTTCTTCTACTTTACTATTGTTGATCACCATAGAGAAGCGTTTCGATCTGAAACCGCCTAAAGGAGGCAAGTTGGTGCCTAAGTCAAGAGCTTTAATAAAATTCCCACTTGGATCTGCAAGCATGCGAACCTGTTGATATAAAAAGAATTTTTTTTTTAATACTCCATAACAGCCTATTAATATCCCACTGTTGGGCTCTCTCATATAATAGCAGAATATTAGCCTAATATTTCCAATAAAATTACATCAACTTTTATAGAAGTCTAAATACATAACTATTCCAAAAACTATTACATAGTTGCTAAATGATATAAGAAAAAAAAATAGATGATTATGGTTCCTAACATTATTGATATTAGATGTTATGGTCTAAAACGTCATTTAATCTGTTAATATGAAAAAATAGAATTAAAAAAAAAATGATTGTAGTTTTTTAATATTTGTTTAAAAAACTAAACAATACAATAGGAAGTGAAAAGTGACAGCACACCGTTTAACATGTAGGAGTGGTTATTTTTACAATCATGTGAGCTTGAAGGTCAGCAGCACACAACTACACAGGTATTGATTTGGTTATTTCAGTTTTGGTATGAACACAAGATATTTTTGTATAATGGTGCTTCTTACCTACAATAACATGGGGTTATCTTCTTAGTTATAATTAACAAAAGCCAGATAAAGATGTGACAGACTTGTTTGTTACTTAAAAAATGATAACAAGTAAAAGTTCATCATAAACATTTGTGTAAAATACAAAATTTAATTATCATATAAACTTATATAGGACATATTAAAGTCAAAAGCTATAGATTAATATAATACCTGAAGGAGACTTTGTACAAAAGTCGATTGCTTGGGTATCTCTGTCCCATTTGTATTTTAACCGTAAAGCAGTTGTGTTTGCATGGTTGTGTTTTGGTTTGAAGAATGGGATATGGCGTGAATTTACTGGGTACAGAGGAATAACACCTGAGTCCTCAGGAATGGCAACGCATGGGGGGTATCATGGGCGAAACAGTATACTCTGTTATGTCCATGGTACTGCTCATGTCTATAGGCAAAGGTTACTACTTTCCATCAGGTGGGCTGTCAGCTTGTATGCCGTTCTAAATTTTATAAAATTTTTTTTTTAAAAAAGTACATCTTAACTTTGTCTTTTTTCTCAATGTCCTCTACTCAAAAATTGTCTGGAAAAGATTACTTGGTGATAAGGCCACCTTTTGTTTCACTTTTCATTCAAATTGACTATACTTATTATTTTATAAATGGTCCAATATAGTGCAAAATAAATAAATAAATAAACATAAACAATCAGTATTGTTATGCTATCAAGTATTTTACTATGTACATAAGTAAATACAAAACTTAACATCTAACCTTTCCTTTAGTGTTATGCTGTGTGCCCCATGCAGCCATCACATAAGGATCGTTGACAGACACACAAACGATCTCCGCGACACCTTCTGTCCTTAATTTGTCAGCACTCTGAACATATCCCGGCAGGTGAGTCTTAGAGCAGCCAGGTGTGAAAGCGCCGGGTACAGCAAACAATACAACTTTCTTGCCGGCAGTCAAATCGGAAATGTTTACTTTATTCGCCGGCGAATCCTCAAACAGATCCACAGACGGTAGCGGATCACCAACCTGAAATACAGGAGGAAAATAAGCCGACAGTTATATAATTTTATGTAAACATTTCATTAATATGAAAGTACCTTTATCGGTGCCATGGCTAATGGAGTAGTGTGCAGCGCTCGGGTCAAAGACTGCTTATTGAATGCAGCAATACCTCGGATAATTGTTGACCTCGTAACAAACATTGGTGACTAGTTATGTATTTTTTATTAACTTGACAATCTCTCTATTGATTCTGTGACTATTGATTCAATTTGACAACTACTGTAATAGGTATACGACCTTGAAAACAACTGGATAAATATTATGACATTATAGATTACGTATAGAAATAGATAGGAAGTTACTGTCAAAAATATCATAGATTTTCTATTCTTAGCATAAATATAAGTAATTATAATAAAACGTTTACAGATTGGTTATTATAAAATTGAATAATTCTTCATTGAAAAATAATATACCATAAAACTAAACGAATAAGTAAATAAAAAAGCTATGAACTATATTCATCTTAAAAAAATTATCCTCTATTTACATGTCCGCAAATAATAAAATGTAAATTAAACAAAGAATGTATCTAAATATTTATGGATATACCTATTTGTAAGTAAGATATTAATAGACCGATATCCTGTGTTTTGTGTTTTTATTTAATTTCCTTTCATTTACGAATTTCTTAATGATAGTAATTGTTTATTTATAATAGCAACATTTTATTTCTAAACGCATTTGACATATCAATTTTTCATTCGTTCCTTTCATTCCTTTCAATTTGTCTTTGATCAAGTTGTACACGGCTTGTTTGATTATTTCTTTTGAAATCGTTATCCACGTTTTAGATATGAAAGTATATGATGTTTGTGTTATAAAAGTGAGGCGTTGAAAGTTTTTGGGGAACTAATTGTGTTAGCAATATGGAGACTCCTTCTATGGACACAATTTACCAAGCCATTCATGCTTTGTACGATAACCCCAATGCTAGCGAAAAAGAAAAGGCCTCTATTTGGCTAGCAGATATACAAAAATCTGTAAGTAAATTATTTATTTTTGTAATTACAATTAATTTACATAGCTCTGATCATGTACTGGATGTAACCGTACGTTTTTTTAATGCTTATTACTTTCTTGAATAATTCATGTGATTAAACCTATCCACTGACCGATTTTTTAATTTCAGATTCACTCATGGAAAATAGCTGATGAACTATTGCAACAAAAAAAAGATGTACAGTCGTGCTATTTCGCGGCACAAACGATGAGGTCTAAAGTGCAACACAACTTATCTGAATTACCTTCAGAGGCCATTGTATCACTTCGGGACTCCCTAGTAGCTCACCTGGAGCGTACTTCTCCAGACACGAGTGCCGCCATCCTGACACAGCTCAGTCTGGCGCTAGCAGACTTAGCCTTACAAATGACAGGATGGCAGAACTGTATAGGGGATTTAATAAAGAAATTTACAAACAATAATTTTGCACTATTAGAAATACTTACAGTTCTACCTCAAGAAATAGATTCGTCTAGCTTGAAACTTGGCGAGAACAGACGGGAGGAAATCAAGTCGGAATTAAGGTCAAACTCTCATATAGTAACTTTATTTCTTAAAGAAAGCATAATTAGTTCACAGAACACTAGTGTATCATTGAAAATAATTAAGTGTATGACGTCATGGATACAAGTGAGAGCGGTCAATATTCAGGAAATACCAAACAATGCCGTGATCGGGTTTTGTTTGCAAGTGTTGAGAGATCACAATTCAATAAATACGTTACACGACGCTGCATCCGACTGTATATGTGCTTTATTACATTGTTTAGAAGAAAATAATAATAATGAGAATGTGGAGAGGCTACTGTTTGATAGTGTGTCAGCCCTAGAGGAGAGTTACCACATGGCCGTGGCTCACGAGAACGAGGAGAAGGCTGCCAACTATGCGAAGGTGTTCACAGAGTTGGCTGAAACATTTTTAGAGAAAATCATTGCGGCTACAGCAAGTAGGAATACACATTTTGCAATGAGATCACTAGAATTGGCTCTTGTATGTGTTGGACACCATGACTATGAGGTAACTGAACATTTTATAGTGTTTTATGTTTGTCACATGATACTTAATGTGAAATCATTGTGAATTGGAATAATCATCTTATATATATATATATATATAAAAGCAATCCTATGTATGGACTATGTGTAGATATTAACTTACCAGTATAAAATATAACATATGTCATTATATATTCCTTTAATTATTTAATAAACAAGACTCACTTTCACATTTTCAGTATATGTGAAGACAAAAAAGTTACAATGTGTTGTTTACAAATAGTTGTAGGTATTATAGAATAATCATATTAAATTTTATATTGTAATTGTTGATTGTAAATCATTCATGATTTATTGTATAGAATGGCAGCCATCAATTTAGAACAGTAATCATAGTTATTTCATTAAATAATTCTTAATTATTAATAATTAATTCAACAGAACTTATCCACATTTTGAAACTCTGAAATTATTCACTTAATTAATTAATTATTATAATTAAGTTTAGTTGTGGTAAATGTAGTGGACAGTGAATCTATTATAATTGCTAACAACCTATTTTAAGTAATAAATTCTGCTGCAATACTGTTTGTTATTCTAAATAAATTAAAAAAAAATTATTGTCTATATACATATAATTTTATAACTGTATATGCTGTATGTGTACAGAAAAATAAATAAACTCACTGCGTTTTGCCATTTCTGACAATTGTTTCGACTTCATTCAGAAGTCTTCAGAGTGTGTTTGGCGCTTTGCATCACAGCGGAGACTTTGAACAAAAGTCGGTCGCTTAGGTACCTCTGTCCCATTCGTGCTTCTACCGTGAAGCAGTTGTGTTTGCATGGCTGTGTTTCGGTTTGAAAGGTGGGATATGGTGTGAATTTACAGGGTACAGAGGAACAACATCTGAGTCCTCAGGAATGGTAACGCATGGGAGGTATCATGGGCGAAACAGTATACTCTGTTATGTCCATGGTACTGCTCATGTCTATGGGCGACGGTTACCACTTTCCATCAGGTGGGCCGTCAACTTGTTTGACATTCTAAGTTGTATAAAAAAAAACAGCATCTCATTATTTTTTGTTATAATATGTATATAGAAATCAAATAAGAAATGAACATATGTCTTCTAATTGTAATCTGTATGTCTGTAAATGTTGTCATTCTAGTATTTGGTTAATATTTATTTGTTGAATTATTTGTTACAGGTTGCCGAAATAACCTTCAACTTGTGGTACCGACTGTCGGAGGAGGTTTATCAGAATGACTACCAGCCCCTGACAGATGTATTCAAACCTCACATAGAGAGGTTAATAGAGGCCCTCGCAAGACATTGTCAGTGTGAGCCCGATCATACACAATTGCCTGAAGAGGGTGATGAATTCTATGTAAGTAAACACTTGTTAATTATTTTTTTTTTATACAGCTTAGAATGGCAAACAAGCTGACGGCCCACCTGATGTAAAGTGGAAACCGTCGCCTATAGACATGAGCAGTAGCATGGACATAACAGAGTATACTGTTTCGCCCATGATACCCCCCATGCGTTGCCATTACTGAGGACTCAGGTGTTATTCCTCTGTACCCAGTAAATTCAGGATTATTTCAATTAATGTTTTCATGAATGGAAAAAATATTGTAATAACTATTGGATTAACTTAGGTGTAATTAGATCGATAGAACTCAACTAGTTATATTTATAATAAGTTTACTATTGTAATCTTTTCGAGGAAACAATAAAGAGTCTATCTATCTATCTAGTTTCGGGATCAATTCGGTATCCTTAAGCACAAGTGGCTATATAACACCAGCAGGAACGGAGAAAAAATTGTATTGTATTGTAAAATCTTTATTGTTCATAACTCAGATTAAAACTGGTAAATGATTTAATATACAATGGCAGACTTATCCCATAAAGGGATCTCTTACAGTCAAACTTTGAGAAGTTGAAAGAAAACTGTAGAATGTATAAGGGTAATAACCGTACAATTAAATATAAACTAAATAATACCCTGTAAAAAAAATTTAATATATAGTACAATAAAAACAGCTCTATATACCTACATATGTAAATAATAAAAGTACATGAATAATAATATAACATTAATAAATAAATAAATAAAAACTTACACACATAAATATATATATACACTCATACATACACATATTATAAAATATTATTAATAAATGAAGTCATCATAGCCTCTGATCTAACAAGCTCTGCCTTAATTTTTTTTTTTATATTGAGAGTGAAATTGGAGATTATTCAATTTTTTCTCTAAATCTATAATTTCGAAAATGAGACTTGACTGTAAATTCTGTGTTTTATTGGATATTATATTTAGTTTTTTCTCTAAATCTATAATTTCATAATGATTTCCATGATACTTATGAAATCATCACTTTTCATTATCATCCGTGTGAAATTGGAGATTACTCCATTTTTTCTCTAAATCTTTAATTTCATAATGATTTCATGATACTTATGAAATCATCACTTTTCATGTATCATCCGTGTGAAAAATATATTACTCCATTTTTTCTTTTTTTTTTAATTTCATAATGATTTCATGACAAAATAAATCATCATTTTATATTAATCAAAGAAAAATTGAATAAATTTACCACCAACACCGTTTACTCTAAATCTTTAATTTCATAATATAATCACAATACTTATGAAATCAGAACAGTTAAAATTTATCATCCGTGTGAAATTGAGAATATTTTTTTTCTTAAATCTTTATTAATAATATCAACATAATTAAATAAAAAAAAAAAAAATAAGCGTTATAAATCATCACTTTTCATACATATAAGTCTGAAATTATATGTATTCAGATTTTTTCTCTATATCTATAATTTCGTAATGATTTCCATGATACTTATGAAATCATCACTTTTCATTATCATCTGTGTGAAAAGTGATGATGATTATTTTTTTAATAATGACAATACGATGATGGAACTGATCTCTCTTCCAGGAGTTTCGGATGAAGGTGATGGGCCTGATAAAGGACGTGGTGTTCATCATCGGATCGACTAACAATCCCTGTTTCCGCCAGAATTATATGTATAATTATATGATAATTATATCAGCTTCACTCCTATATTCACTTTGTATAAAAATATGCAATCACTACGTAACTGCCAAAAATATATTCAACTCGCTGGTAAAAAAAAAATTTTTTTTTTTTAATTTTAGGATAAACTAACAGTGACAAAATAAATAATAATACATAATATTAATCAAAGAAAAAATTGAGTAAATTTGCCACTAATACCGTTTACCACAGTTTTGATTCAAATATAATACAAGCTTAAGCAAAGAAGAACAGTTAAAATTTACATGAGTCTTTTAGAGAATAGCTTTTTAAAAGTCATCCATTGAAAAAAATCCTCGATTATTAAATTTCTTTAAAAAATATATATATATATATATATATATATATATATATATATATATATATATATATATATATATATATATATATAACTAGAACCCGCCCCGGCTTCGCACGGGTATATGTATATTTTTTTAATTTTTTTATATATTAATTAAAGACCTATATAGTATATTTTTTTTAATGATGAAAATGGAATGGTAACCCCGTCTGCGCTAACGGTATACGCTGGCGGGGCACCAGTGAAGGATGATAGATGAGGATGAAAACAGGTCAGTTAGCCCATCATGATGAATTCATCAAGAATTGTTCACGATAGTTTCCAGGGAGTACCGCGAGGAGGTCGACCTGGTTGGGTATATTGCTAGCAATGGGGCTGTCAAACTCCATTACTAACAATCCCTTCCCCCCAGATAGACATATACCATCGCGGACTTTTTTGTTGTTTTTTTTAAAGTGTACAATACTGTAGTAAGGTCAACCGATATTCACTTTGTATAAATAGTATGTAATCACTACGTAATTCTACTCTGTATTCGTAAAATCGCTGGTGTTTTGAAACGTTTATTATTTTATGGTAATTTGTTTAATCAAGTCGAATTAACACATATATCTTTCTAAACCATCGTGAAAATTTATCGTTAAACCTTTGTCAGAGTCGAGACTGTCAGACTTTTCATCCTGATCAAGTCAACCTCACTGGTTTCTCCGCAGTTTATCCGTTTTGTGTTATCTGTCAAAATTCCATAAAATTTACTCATCAACATATTTTATGATCTGAAAAAAATTTCTATTTTTACGAAATAACGAATTTTTTATCACACATATATATATATATATATATATATATATATATATATATATATATATATATATATATATATATATATATATATATATATAAATTAGAATACGACACAAACCGTAGATATTGTCATGTTTGTATTATATTATTTTATATATTAATATACCTTTTCCTTTTTTTAGACATATTTTTTTTATTTTTTTTATTGATAATGGATGTTACAGCAAATGCCGAATGAGTGTGTGAATATAAAGTTTTATAGCGAGGTAAGTGTAACTGTAAAGATATTTTAAGGAATAGTGGATTTCAGTTTATAAAGACATATTGATGAATTCAACAATAATTGTTCACGATGGTTTCGTAAACTTCACACAGTAACTAAAAACAGAATGCTTGAATGGAATGCGATATTGCTAGCAATGGGGCTGTCATAAAACAGTTGACGTTACGTATCCCATTCCCCCCAGATAGACATATACCATCGCGGACTTTTTTGTTGTTTTTTTTAAAGTGTACAATACTGTAGTACATTATTTTGATTTATCTCGTGGGGTTCAGCCAACGTTTGCAATGTAAGCACAAAAAATGTGTTTATTTATGACATCACATTAGAAACCTCTAAATTTATCAGTGTTCCTCTACAATATTATGCATGTATTATACATATAAACCTTCCTCTTGAATCACTCTATCTATTAAAAAAAAACCGCTTCAAAATTCGTTGCGCAATTTTAAAGATTTAAGCATACATAGGGACGGACAGACAGCGATAACGACTTTATTTTATAGTTATTTTTTTATACCACTGTGGTGGCAAACAAGCATACGGCCCACCTGATGGTAAGCGGTTACCGTAGCCTATGAACGCCTGCAATACCAGAGGTATTACGCGCGCGTTGCCGACCCTGAGAAACCCCTTTACCCCCCTTTTGTAGAACTCCATGCTGTAGTCTCTTGGGAAAACCTCGGCAGGGAGCTCATATATGTATGTAGTGATAAAATATTTTTTGCAGAGAAGAATATGAATATGTCCCAAAAGTGGTGGAAGCAATACTCTCCATGCCAGAGAACACACACGTGGCGGTCCGGAAGACGTGCATTTTACTGCTGGGGGAGCTCTGCGAGTGGATCGAGAGACATCCCGAGGGTTTGGAGCCCTGCCTCCAATTCCTCATTACAGCACTAAATGATTCACAATTAACATTCGCGGCTGCTACAGCGTTACAGGTGAGTTTACGATCATTTATTTTTATAGCATGAAATATTTATTTGCTTTAAAACGGTGTTCCTCAACGCGGGGCCCACGCCTCACACGGGGCAATTTGATAGTTAAGGGGGGGCAATTAAAAAATGGACTCGAAGCTATTTTAACCTTTTTCCTCCGGGCCGTTTAAATGCAGTGCTGTGAGTAGATTACAGTGTCAAATTTAACAAAAAAAGTAAATTAAAAAAATGCTGTAACTATTTATTAGGTATAATTTCGTTTGACGTTACTAAAATATCAACTGGGCGATTAGAGTCGTCAAGTAAACTTTGTCGGGAAAAATTATGTATGGGGGCATAACATTTTTAGAAATGCCCAAGTGGGGCATGGCACAAAAAAGGTTCAGAAACACTGGTTTAAAATGACAATAAATCTAATAAAATCCATGTGACAGAACTTTTGGCATCTGTTTGCTATTGGCTTATTTTATATTTGCATATGGGATCAGCTAAGCATTGCACGTCGACCCAACGGGATCTTTTGTGCTTCCCCCTGCCTTATACCATCATTTCATAGATCCTATATGTTACCCTAACGATATCCCGCGGTTTAAGTTATTTGTAGTCCCCTGGCTCCGGATAAGCCGTTCCCAGATCCAAAATTAAGAACTCGACGGGTGAGTGCCTTGCGTTGGTTCCATATTTTCTTTTTTTATTTTTAATGGTACTTAGAATGGCAAACAAGCTGACGGCCCACCTGATGGAAAGTGGTAACTGTCGTCTAAAAACATGAGTAGTACCATGGACATAACCAAATGTACTTCATGCGTTACCATTCCTGAAAATTCAGGTGTTATTCCTCTGTACCCTGTAAATTCATGCCATATCCCACCCTTCAAACCGAAACACAGCCATGCGAACACAACTGCTTTACGGTTGAAACACGAATGGGACAGAGGTGTCCAAGTAAACGACTTTTGTACAAAGTCTCCCTCTGGTGTTGTTGTTCGGGAGGAGATTTTAAAAAACTGTAAGAGTGATGTACGCGCGGTGTGCGGCAGAGCATGTGCTCGGCGTGCCGCGCGCGGGCCGGCGAGCATGTGGGGCTGGTGATGGGCGCGGCGCGGCTGGCGCTGCCCGCGGCCGCCGCCGTCAGCGTCGCCCGCGCCCTCGCCGCCGCCATCAGCCACCTGCCCCCCGACCAGGTACGCAAACATTTATCATTGTATACTAGCTTTAACCCCCGAATTCGTCTGCGTAACCAGGATCAAAAGTAGCCTAAGTGTAATTATAGATTCTACCTGTCAATTAAATTTGTGACCATTGACATATTAAATAATTAATAAGTCTACTATTGTAATCTTTTGGAGGAAACAATAAAGAGTATCTATCTATCTATAAATACGATTAATTTTTTTTTATATACAACTTAGAATGATGAAACCTGATGGAAATTGGTAACCGTCGCCTATAGACATGAGCAGTACCATGGACATAACAGAGTATACTGTTTCGCCCATGATACCCCCCATGCGTTGCCATTCCTGAGGACTCAGGTGTTATTCCTCTGTACCCTGTAAATGCACTGCCATATCCCACCCTTCAAACCGAAATACAAACACACATTCAAATGTATTAGTAAAAGTTTGAAGTGTTCGAGCAGGGTCTGCCTTAGTCGAACTGGCATCCTTGGGCAGGCTTTTAATGCCTTTATCCCTGACAACAAAAAAATAGTAACAGCGCCCTCTAACGATAAACTAAAACAATACATAGTCCTGACATATCATCATCTTCCTACTCTTGTACTCTATTAGCACATATATGTATGTATTAAATGTAATGTATCTTGTACCCAATAATAATTTTGCATGCTTTAGAATATAAGGCGAACTTTTGTACTTCACAATGGATCGATATCTGTAAAAAACAATGTTCTGGCAAATAAAGAAATCTAAATCTTATGCCAATTATTATTTGTGGTCGACGTCATATATTTTTTATCCATATTACAAAAAGATTTGGCTTTTAGTTTTACGACCGGCTGCCTGCCGGACGTCTACCCTCTTTGGAATACACAGTCCTGACATAATCGTGGTTAATTATTTAACAACAAAAATAAAAGGATATCTTTTAATTGGGGATCCAACCAGGGTATATTGCTAGTAATTGGTCTATTTGATCCCGTTACTAACAATCCCTTCCCCCCGCAGTTTGGTTTTGGTGATGTTTTAAAAGGGACGCTGCTGTCCATCCCTCGATTATTAAGTTCCTTAGTCGCCTCTTATGGGAAAGGAAGGGGGGAGCTTATTTTATGCCGGGACCTACACGGCTGCATGTGTATGGGTACGTTATCGAGTGCTGGTGGCTGACGTGTGAGGATGGTCGCGCAGGCATCGGCGGCGATGGAGGAGGCGGTGGCGCTGCAGCTGGAGGGGCTGGAGGGCGTGATGCGCGCGGCGGCTGCCGGGGATGCCGTCGATGCTAGCGTGTGCGTGGAGGCGGCGGCGTGGCTGGACCGGCTGGCGGCGCTGTTCCGCGACGTGGAGGCGCCGCCGGCCGCCGCCAACGCGCTGCACCCCTGCCTGCCCGCGCTGCACCGCGCCTGGCCGCTGCTGCAACGCGTCCTCGACAGGTGGCGCCACACGCACACACATACACACACACACACACACACACACACACGCAAACACACACGGACACGCGCGCAAACACACGCGCCTAAAAACACACACACAAACGCGCTTAAAAACACACACACACGCGCCTAAAAACACACACACACGCGCGCCTAAAAACACACACACACACGCACGCACGCACACGCACGCACGCACGCACGCACGCACGCACGCACGCACGCACACACACACACACATTTCGGATTCAATTTCGTGTTTTTATTTATACCAAAATCGGACCAATAAATGGAGTTTAACATTTCGTTCGTCACACAGCCTATCATAAAAGTCGAAAGGAACGATATTTTAACATTTTTAATTATTTCCAAACGGCATATATTATGTAATTTTAACATCAAATTTGTGTTTCGTTTGGCTCCGAAATTTTGGAAACATTTCATGGTAGGGCCCTCTGATGGGCTGTCAGCTTGTTTGCCATTGTAAGTTGTTTAAAAAAAAATAGATAAATAATTCGTTGTAAATGAAAAGGAAAAATGTGGGACAGAGTGGCTCAGGATAGGCGAGAGTGGAAACGGTCGGAGGAGGCCTTTGCCAAATGGCAAACGGATCTTAAAAAAATAAGCAAGCAAAATTTTATGTTTGTTTTGGATGTACTAAGTTGATCTGAATAAAGGCTTTAGGCCAGGTTTAATTAGGCCAGGTTGTCTGTAAGAGATCGCTTCTAGCGATAAGGCCGCCTTTTGTATATGCACATTCTGTATAAATACTCCTTGTATACATCTCTACTGTGCGCAGTAAAGAGTTTATTATTATTATTATATACATATGTATTATTTCTCAGCTTATAGCTGGTTTTGTAGAGACAAGGACGGGATTGTTACCAAGTCACTTGTTCTGATATTTTATTTTATTCAGTAGGAATGTTAGGAATTGGACTATATAAAAATTTTCTAACTATGGACCATGTATCTAATACTGTAGATTTCTGGAGTTCCATGAAGAATGTCTTATTATTATGTACTTCGCTCTCGGCTAATTTACCGGTTTTCTCAGACAACCCGTCCCAAAAATCTTTGGAAAAAAGAGAGCTGTGATCCCAACCCCTTTTATTACGTGTGTGTATGCAAATATGCATACACATATATTATTTTTATGCTTCATAGCTCTATACGTGGGGGGGAAAGGGATTGCTAGTAATGGGGTCAAATAGTCCCATTACTAGCAATATATCCTGTCAGGTCGACCTCCACGTGGTTTCCCCTGGAAATCATTGTGAACAATTCTTGTTGAATTCGTCACGGTGGGCTAACTGGCCTGCTTCATCCTCACCTATCATTCTTCACTGGTGCCCCACCGGTGTATACCGATAGCGCGGGTGGGATTACCATTCTTTTATCATCCATTAAAAAAAAAAGCTCTATACGTGTGTATGCGTGTCTGTAGTAGTGTGATGTGGCGCATCTTGTAGTGTGATTATTGTATTTCCTAGTACTTTACATGTTATGGTCGAGGAATGCATGGCTGCTTGTTTTTGTAATATACCTATATTGATGTTCGCGTGTAGTTGTTCGCAATACCTATTCAAGCTATTCGCTATTACACCTGTCGCTCCCACTATTATTGGCACTGCTGTCGCTTGTGTTTTCCATAATCTAGTAATTTCGGTCTTTAATTTATGGTATTTATTAAGTGTTTCCATTTCTTTAGCTCCAATATTATAATCTGACGGAACACTGATGTCTAATAGGTATGTTTTATTATGTATTTTATCTATATAGATAAGATCGGGTCGATTGGGATATCTGTCTGTACCGGCATTTCCCATAATATTTTTGCTGTATTATTCCCCACTGTTTGTGGTTGTATAAGTTCTTTCCACCAAAATTGGGTTTTATGTAGATTATGGTTTTTTGCAAGTGACCAATATATATATATATATATTGTACTAAGTTATTATGTCTTTTAGTATATAGCGTCGCTGCTAATTTCTCATATCCCGCTATTAAATGTTGTACTATTACATCTTTCGTTCCGCATAATCTACATTTTCCATCTGTGGAGCGTTTAAGTATATCCCTCTCGTGCTGTTTAGTTACTACGGCTTGGTCTTGTATTGCGCAATATTGTTGATTCTAAAACGGGGGAAATGGTGTGTTTCTTTAACCACAAAAATGAAGATACCTTGTCGATATTTGGGCGATCCAATACTGATATTGGAAACTGCCCATACATGTTTTTTTTTCTCTCCATATTTTACTTCTGGATCTTATAATTGCAGCTTTTACTTCTTTACCTGTATGAAAGAAGTTATTTTCAGTAGGCAGCTGAAGTTCCTTCATATATATTATAGCTTCTTTTGATATTGAGAATTTTTCTTTTTGTTTGTGTTTATTATAATGATTATTATTATTATTTTTTAAATTTTACTAAAATTCTCATCTCCCCTCTTAAGGAGAGGAGATGGCAACTAACCCTCGGCAGAAGCACAGTCGGCCGGGGTTCACGGCCCCAGGGAGAGAAACCGGCGTACAATGCGGGCAAAATCTAAGAGCACCGCTTTCTGCATCTTTCCCGGAAGTGAACCGCCTCTGAATCCCAACCGTCTGAGATGTTGTTCGAGACTGGTTGGGATAAGACCGTTCACCGACATAACGATTGGGATGATTTCGGTAGATGTCACCCCCCACATTTCGGTCACCTCGTGAGCCAGGTCGAGATATTTTCTCTTCTTCTCGGTTTCGGCTTTCACGAGGTTCTCGTCATGCGGTATGGTGACATCCACCAAAAACACCCTCGAGAGTGCCCGATCCATCACCCCGATATCAGGTTTGTTCGCAAGAACGGTCCTGTCCGTGATGATGGATCGGTCCCAGTAGAGCCTTACGCTATCGCTTTCGAGGACCGGCTGGGGCTCGTACTTATAGTACGGCAACCTCTCATTCGCGAGGCCGTACTTCAGAGCTAGCTCTTGATGGAGTATTTTGGCTACCTGGTTGTGTCTGTGCAAGTACTCAGTGTTGGCAAGAGCTGAACAACCCGAAAGCACATGTCTGAGTGACTCTCCGGGATGGCGACATGCCCGACAGATGTCCTCAGTGCCATCCTTCAGAATATGCTTTCGCTAATTGTTCGTCTTAACCACCTGATCTTGTATTGCACAGACAAAACCCTCGGTCTCTCCGAAGAGATCACCGAACTGTAGCCAGTGCACGGAGGTCTTCGTGTTTACGTACGGCCCGTGAAGGGCTTTGAAGAACCTTTCGTGCAACTCCTTCTCTTTCCATACGGCCTCCCGCTGAGAGGTACCCAAAACTTCGGGTTTTCGCCAGTCCTCTTTAGCCAGAGAAAGAGGGGTGAATCCTTTGTCACATTCTATGACCTCTCTATGCAAACCCTCGTCTATTTTCTCCAGAAAATATGTCCTGAGGCTGTCAACCTCGCGGTTGTGCATGGTCTTAACACTTAACAAGCCTCGACCACCAGCCTTCCGCGGGATATACAGCCTCATGACTGACGATTTCGGGTGATGCATTCTATGGAGGGTCATAGTTGTGCGGACTTTCCGATCCAGGGCTTCGAGATCGGTTTGAGACCATCTGAGCACGCCAAAAGTGTAAAGGAGTACGGGTATGACCCAGCCGTTATAAGCTCGGATTTTATTGGCGCCCGACAAAGAACTTTTCAGTACTCTTGTAAGGCGCGCAAAAAATTCCTCGCGGACTGACTGTTTCATATCCGTCTCCTTCACACCGATGTTTTGTGACATGCCCAGATACCGGTATGTTTCAGCCTCGGAGAGGGTTTTAATATTAGAGGGATCTGTGGCGATCCCTTCAGATTGAGTGACCCGTCCCCTCTGCACATGGAGGACCGCGCACTTGTCTATTCCGAGCGCCATCCTAATAGAGCTGCTATAATCGTTTACGATATTTAGCAGCTCCGTCAGGCGTTCGACGCTCGGAGCTAGCAGTTTCAAGTCATCCATGTACAGAAGGTGAGACACTCGTGTACCTCCTCTCCGATACTGAAATCCAGTCCCCGAATTCTCCAGTAAAGTACTGAGTGGATTCAGGGACAGGCAAAACCAAAGTGGACTCAAACAATCGCCCTGGAATATTTCCCTCTTTATCTCTATCCGGTCAGCGGTATCCGTCAATCGCTCGCCCTGGATAGTCAGGATCGTCATCCACTGCCCCATGCATGCCTCAAAGAACACTCGAACTGTACCGTCGATCTTGTACAGCTCGAGTATCCTCCGAAGCCATGAATGGGGCACGGAATCGAACGCCTTTTTATAATCTATCCAGGCGGCGGAGAAATTCCGACGGTTCCGCTTGACCACGTGGCCAGCGACAACATCAATGAGGAGCAGCTCCGTCGATCCGCGGCTACCGCCCCTGCATCCGTTCTGAGCGCTAGATAGGATCTTATTCTCGTACACATGACGAGAGATCTTAGCGCTCAGAACGGATGTTAACGTCTGGTATATTGTCGTAAGACAAGTGATGGGGCGATATTTAGATGGATCCGCGGTATCGTCCGTCTTAGGAGCTAAATGAGTGATCCCGGTTGTAAGGAAGTTCGGGAGCGTCCTGTTTTCGAGGGCACTCTGGAATTGCACGGCTAAGGTCGCATGTCTGGCCAAGAACGCCTTTAACCAGTAGTGCTGCAATCCGTCGATCTCCGGACTTTTCCAGTTCGGAGCCCGACGGATCGCGGCAACCACGTCTTCCTCCGTAATGGCAATGGCGTTCATCGGCATTATTCGAGCACATGCTTCCTCAACATCGTGCATCCATGCGCCCTCCTCATGTTCCACAGGTTCAGACCACAGCTGTCTCCAGAAGGCGACGAAATTGGCTGTTTCGGGTCTTTGTCCTGTGGGCTGTAGTTTTGGGCGCTCCAAGTTCCTATAAAACTTCCGTTGATCACTCATAAAGAGGCGATTCTGTTGATACCTCTCAACCCTCTCAGAGTACCGTCGGAGTCGCTTCCCCCATGCAGCGATCTTCTGCTTCAGTTCATCTATGCGCTCCGTAAGTTTGTGCCCGAAGTCCGGCTGGAACAGACGTACACCTGTCCCAGCAAAGGCCTCTTTTACGGAGCGCATAATTCTCGGGCGTGTGTTGCCCTCCCTGAAGCAGAGCAGTCTACCAATGAGGACTCTGGCCTGGGCGATCCGTCGTTCAATCCTTCTTTTCCAGGCTGGTTTCATATTATCCCTTTGGATATTACGTCCAGCCCGGGGCATTTTTGCGCCGGTATATCGGCATACTGCCAACGCAGCGCCAAACAGGATTGAACTCGTCTCTCCCAGGTCACCGCTGCCCTCAAGGTACTGAGGCAGCAGTCCATTTGTGGCCTCAATGGCATCCCGCGTCGCCACATTTGGATATATCCGGGGAAGCTTCGGTCTCTCTTCGAGGGGAGTTCTTCGGATCTCTAGAATCGCCTCCTCTAGTATGCTCCTCATATGCTCTATATCCTGGGAAGTTGTTCCGTCCGCATCCGCTTCTGAAAGCGTTTCAGCAACCACCTCTACGCTAGGTAGCACGTCTGAGATGGGTTGCTCTACGGTCGCGGAGTTTGCTTCTGGAACAACTTCACTTCGCAATCGTTCGAGTTCGGTCGCGCTAAACATACCAGAGCGCTGTATGTACCGAACTCTGTCGGCTAGGTTCTGTTCCGAGACGGTTAGATCCGGTAAAAGACGCAGAAACTCGCGGTGCATTACTGCCCGGTATCCTGTTCTGCCTGTTTCTGTCCCTGTAGCCCTGAAGAACGCACGCATGAGGTCCTCATTCATGGCTCTTGTCCACCTCATGCGACGTGTACCACCAGTGGCGGGCACCGATTGCTGGGCCTGTGACGGCCCTGCCGGCGCCAAGCCAGCTGATGTCGATGGCGAGGGGTCGGACCGGCCAGGTGGTGGGGCCGGTCGGCTGGCTCGCATTCTGCCGTGCCTACCGCCAGTTGTAGACGCGCTCCGGCGACCCCCGGGCAGCGACCCTATACTGTCTACGTTATTATTATTCGCCATCTTTATTTTTGTCATTGCTCCTTTAGCCGCGTAGATTTTATTTATACGCGTGACCGCCTTCCACGTGAGCTAGATGGTGAGCTCGGACGCGGGGTTGGACTTTGGAAGGCTGGTGCCGTGACCAGGATTTATTATTATTATTATTATTGAGCGAGTGAGTGAGTGAGTATGTCCGTGTGTGCAGGCTGGGCGCGGACGGGCGCGTGGCGGAGCGCTGGTGCCGCGCGGTGCGGTTCGCGGCGCGCGCGGCGGGCGCGGGCGGCGTGCAGCGGCTGCAGCTGCTGCAGCCGCTGGCCGGCGCGCTGGCGGCGCTGTACGCGCGGCGCGCGCACTCGTGCCTGCTGTACCTGGCCGGCGTGCTGGTGGACGAGCTGGCGCGCGCGCCGGCCGCCGTGCCGCCGCTGCTGGCGCTGCTGCACGCGCTGCTGCCGCGCGCCTTCGCGCTGCTGCGCGCGCCCGCCGGCCTCAGGGACAACCCCTACACCGTCGACGACCTCTTCCGCCTCTGCATCAGGTGCGCCGCTCCTCCGCTACACATCTTATTTTTTTTTTTGCAGTATGCGGTCAGCTAAGCCGATGCACGTCGACCCATACGGATCTTTTATACTTCTCCTTGCCCTATACCATCGTTTCATAGATCCTATGTGTTACCCTAACGATATCCCGCGAAGAAGACAGAAATAGTTAATAATGGAAACTGAGAATCCCATTGCTAGCAATATACTCAACAGGTCAACCTCCTCGCGGTTCTACCTGGAAACTATCATGGTTAATTCCTGATGAATTCATCATGTTCGGCTAACTGGCCTGTTTTCATTCTCATCTATCACCCTTCACTGGTGCTCCAACGTATCCCGTTAGCGCAGATGGAGTTACCATTCCATTTTCACTCATAAAAAAAAACACTATATATATATATATAGCTGTACCATAATGACAGCTTTTGATATCGCTATTGTGTTGGGCCTAGATTCCTACAGCGTGCGCCGCTGCAGTTCCTGGCGTCGGAGGCAGTGGCGGCAACGGTGCAGTGCGCGGTGCTGGGCTGCTCGCTCGACCACCGCGAGGCCAACTCCTCCGTCATGAAGTTCCTGCACGACCTGGCGCGCGCCGCCCGCGACACCCGCCCCGACCGCGCCCCCGTCAAAGGTACCCGGGAAATTATATGTTCACCATCTATTTGAAGAGTCCCAAGTTTTAATTCTCCACAAATACAAATTAATCTATATCGTCAAACGCCATTGGCACCGATAGCATTAGTCGTAATATGATTTTACCTATCCTTGATATCCTTTTACCCACCATTACCTTACTTTTCAACAATTCCCTGTCCTCCGGTTTCTTTCCTTCAGCTTGGAAAGCAGCTTTCATAATCCCTCTACCAAAAAAGAAACTTCCTTCCTCGTTCTCAGATTACCGTCCAATTTCTATACTCCCTTTTCTATCCAAAGCCTTAGAACGCCTTGTCCAACAAAAACTTAACTTTTACCTATCAAGAAACAATCTCTTAAATCCTCTTCAATCTGGTTTCCGTCCTGGTCATAGTACGACTACTGCTCTTATTAAAATTTCTGACGATATCCGTTTTGGCATGGAGAATTCTCAATTAACGGTCTTAACATTATTGGACTTTAGCAATGCCTTTAATACTGTTGATTTTGATATTTTGTTAGGATTGCTAACCTCTCTCAACATATCTCCAACGGCAATTGACTGGTTTCGTAGTTACCTGTTTGGACGTCGGCAACGTATTCGCATTGATGACGTTTTATCTTCTTGGTGCCATACGTCAGCTGGCGTGCCGCAGGGTGGCGTCTTATCTCCTCTTCTATTTGCCTTATTTATTAGCACTATCACTTCGAAACTTCAATCTTCCTACCACCTTTATGCAGATGATTTACAGATTTACTCTTTAGCCCCTCTGGTTGATATCTCTTTAGCAATATCTACTGTTAACGCCGATCTGGAACGTATATCTGCCTGGAGTAAATCTCATGGTCTTGTTATAAACCCCTTGAAGACACAAGCCATTATTATTGGGAGTCCCATACTTACTTCCAAAATTTCCTCGACCAGTCTTCCGCCTGTGGTTTTTGATGGGGTTATGATAGATTACCAGAAAAAAGTAAAAAATCTTGGCATTATTTTTGATAACACTTTGTCATGGTCTCCACAAATCTCGGAGGTCAGTAAAAAAATGTTTGCTGCAACTTTTGCCTTAAATAGACTACGTAATTTCCTCCCAGTTAACACCAAAATTGCGCTCGCACACACCTTACTCCTACCCATTCTTGATTATGCCGACTCATGTTATTTAGACCTCACCGAAGAGCAATTAAACAAGCTTGAGCGTCTCCAAAATTTATGTATCCGCTTCATATTTGGTCTTCGCAAATATGATCACATTTCTCAATTTTGTACTCAACTCAAGTGGCTCCCTATCCGTTTTCGTCGTAATCTGCATATCCTGTCTCTTCTTTACACAATCCTTTTTAATCCTGCTGCTCCTGATTATCTAAAAGACCGATTCTTGTTTCTCAGTGAGTCTAATGATCATACTTTACGCAGTGTCAATAACCTCCGACTCAAATTTCCCACTCATTCTTCTTCCTTTTATTCTAAATCCTTTACTGTTCAGGCAGTTCGTCTATGGAACTCTCTGCCTACCTCTATTCGGTGCGCTCAAACTCTTACTAGCTTCAAAACCTCTGTTAAATCTTACTACCTCTCACTTTAGTACTATTTTTCTGTGTTCTCTCTTCGTTTTCCTTCGTCATTTTTTTTTCTGTTGTATGTGTGATGTTAAGTATGTGTATGTTATGTATATATTTAATTGTGTATATATTATATATGTATGTGTATATATGTATGTATGTATCTATATATGTTTGTATATGATAATATTTATATAATAGTGCGCCACCTACTCTTTGTCTTTTTCTCAATGTCCTCTACCCAAAGGTTGTCTGGAAGAGATTGCTTAGCGATAAGGCCGCCTTTTGTATCACTTCTCATTAATATTTACTGTATTTGTTATTTCTCTTTTTACTTGGTGCAATAAAGTGTAAATAAATAAATAAATTAATATGATCATGTGGCATGTGATCGTCCACGTGACTGGAATATTTTTTTATACAACTTAGAATGGCAAACAAGCTGACGGCCCACCTGATGGAAAGTGGTAACCGTCGCCTATAGGCATGAGCAGTACCATGGATAAGTTCCTCTTAATAAATTCACTTTCACATTTATATTCAGGTGTATATTGTTGGTTTGTGTACAGCACTAGCCAGCGAGGTGATAACGAGGTACGGCGAGGAGATCACGTACGCGCTGCTCGAGGCGAGCGTGCTGCATCTGCACCCGTACATGCTGTCCGAGGTGGCGGAGGTGCTGCTGGAGCTGATCGCCTGGCAGAAGGCGGCCGGCGTCGACTGGGTGCAGCCCTCGCTACAGAAGCTGCCCCGCGACAGGAGCGCCGTCGCCACCGAGCAGCAGTGCTGGCAGTTCCACCAGTACGCCATGAGGTTAGGCTCGCTCTCATTCGACGGGTCCACTGATCGAATGAACCATAACTTGTGATAATTTTATTAGTGTCAAGTTGACCACAACAGCAAGACGACAAATGCCGCTGTATTTCAGAGGCATTTGGAGTATTCTCCATTAGGAAATATAGTTGTGAGCATATTTATTTCAGGCATTCATTGTCCGATATTTTTTTTGGCGAGGCACCAGTGAAGGATGCTAGATGAGAATGGAAGGACAGATTAATTAGTCCATCCTGATGAATACATCTGCAATTCAGCAGTGGTTTCTAAGGACCATGTGGAGATTAACCTGATAGGATATTGCTAGCAATGGGACTAGTAGTTCGTATTACTAACAATCCCTTCCCCCCCTATATTGTCCGATATTGAACATAGGTTTCCCCCATAAAAGTTCAGCTTCCCGATATATGTGGCTAATCAAGACTAGCCTCTGCAAAGATTGATGGCAATTAACTAGTCATATTTAATTTCAGTGCAGAGAAATGTAAAGAAATGACCAGGCTACTACGTGACTTCGCGAGACTCTACCAGTAAACCACGGACGTGACCCGTGGTCCCTGCAGTGTGCACAGTGAACTCAGCGCAGCGGCATAAGACTGATCTGACGGCTAACGACGACTAATAAAGTGATACAACTCCAGTGAACACAATTAGATCAAATTGACTCTATAATGACTGCCTTTCACTTCCATTAACGGATGTAGTTTTACTGTAGAAACGTGCTAAAGGTACGAGTGGTCATAACACAAGCAATAATATTGTATTAACAGATGTTTATCATTATTTGTTCATTATATTGCATAGCAACTCAATTGATTAATAAATAATAAATAAACAAGCTAAGTGTAAATGTTCATCATATAATAAAAAGAGCTTCTATAGCTAGATCGAAATTTGCTGATGTTCCCGACGTCAATGTTACTCAAATATCAAATACATACTCAAGGACTCGGTATACAAAAATTTGAAATACACAGTACTCGAATAAAGTACTTGTGGGACTCAAATATTAATTACGGAATTTTAATTTTTAATTTTGTTTATTATTCGTGCATTTTATTCAAGCCAACGCTATCCCAGGCCATATCCTTGACCTCCCTATACGACATGACACCTAGTGTTTCCTTTATCTGTCCCATGTAGTTATTCCTCGGTCTTCCTCTTCCTCTTTTGCTCTATATTTTTCCCTCTACTATGCTTTTTATAAATTTCTCATGTCGTCTAAGGTGGCCCAGCATTTTGCCTCTTCTATTCTCTATTGTTTTTATTAATGTTCTTTTCTCATTTACCCTTTTCAACTTTAGATGTCAATTGAAAAATTGTTCAAGTCAGATAAAGAGCATGAATACCGATTACAGTATTCGAGTACTGATCAGAGTCCCCACGCTCGAGTATTTTTTTTTAACGAATACACAAATTTCTAATATTCACTAGCCCTAACAGCAATCAAGACTTTAATAGTCTAATGTTATGTTATAAATTTTCAAATGAAAGGATCAATCCACTTGTAGCATATTACAGAACAGCATTACTGAGAATTGACTTTAATTGTAATTGGTTTTTTATAAATTAAATATGAACACTGTATAAAAATAGATTTATATAAATTAATTTGAGACAAATCATAATAGGACAACCGGAATGAGTTGGGTAAGTATGGACAGTTTCTACTGATAAATATATTTTGTTATACTCTCTTTTATTTCAATGTGATAAAGAATGATGATTCATTTGTAAATATTTATTATAAATGTTTACTTTTATACATGTTTTTCATTCAACATTTTTTCTTATTTTTAGGACTTGATAGTGTGACAAAGTTGACCCTTCTCGGCACCTTAGGGCTCGCTGTAGTTGTAACCGACACAGGCTCTTTAATGTCTGTTACTTTTGCTTGTTTAAAAAAGTTATTGTCCTCGACCTTTGCTTCATTCTTTGGACTTTGTTTAGATGTCAATTTATTGCTTTGAGGTGAATTTTGTGCTCGTTTGATTTTTAAAGCATTTTGTGGACTCGACTTCAGTTTAGGACTCTTTTTAGGTGATTTCTTTCTTGTTTCAGACGTTTCTGTCTCTTTTAGGGATTCAGTCAGTTTACTTTCAGTGTCTTCATACACAAGTTTTATGTCTTCACTATCTTCTATCTGTATAACTTCTGATACCTTTTCGTTAGTTTCATTCTCCACTTCCATTGGCTCTTGAGGTTTAATTAGTTCGTTATTCGAGTTGTCCGACCAAGATGGCATGGCTACTTCTTCTAAGACGTCAATTTTAACAGGCGTCTTTGGATCAGCCACAATTTTTTGGTTTTTAGAGGAATTCTGTGGAGGTGCCTTAAATTTAATGAAGGAATCTATCTTCTGTAAATTGCTCGATGGTTTGCTTTCTTTTTCTGGTGTTTTTTCTTTCATTTCTGCATTCTGAGGTTGTTCTGGAACTTCTACTTCCATTGGTTCTATAAAATAAAAATCACATTTATAATCAATATAAGGTAGACAATTTTTTGTGATATCCTAGATAGTTCATGGTCAGCATTTACCAGCAGATGGGCAATATATGTTTGTTTGCCACCGTTGTAACTAGACAATATCTGGGAGATATTTAAGAAAAAATAATATACGAAGTCTTAGTAAGAGCTAGAAGTTATAATAATTATTTTTAGAAATTTTATCTGTCACACAAAAACTTCTGTTGGAATCGTACAAAAATTACTATACAAATTAGATATGGTTTCACAGTTGTATTTCTAAGACTATAAATCCATGTTGTTAGACTAGTTAAAACACCATTATCTTGACATTCTATTTAAAAATTACATTACAATGGTTTTCCTATTTCTGATATCTACATGTGGAATGTAGCGGGCAAAAAGAATTGTTGCTCAGATAGGAGTTCTTAATTTTTGTTTACAAACTTTGTATTCTTACTACAGTAAAATACTAATTACACATTCATTTTTGTCAAGGTGTATCAAATAGATTGCAATTGGTATGTCTGTTTATACAAGCATGTTAATGCAGTGGACATGTGTAGCAGTGGACAAGAAGGCAGGTGTTGAATAACGAAATCCAACTAAATATCGAAATTTGAAAATAATATTACAATATTATGTACAATAGTTTTAACTGTCGCCTTTTTTTTTATAGATAGAAACTGGTGTGTTATGGTTGAGATTGACAATTTCACTGTGATATCAAATTGGAATTTTAATTTTTGAAATAAGTTTAACGCTCAAGAATGAATCTCTAAAAAATATATTTCTATACATAAAAAAAAAATATATTGAAATATATTTTAAATACAAGTTTTACCTGACGTCTGTGGCGCCGTATCGTCCTCAGGTAAAACTTCCCCGAGCTCTCCATCACTAAATGTGATTACTGAACAGAAGCCATCTGCACTGGACGCCACCAGTATACGCCCATCAGGGGACCATGTGAGGTCTGTCAATCTGCAAAGTTATATATATTTCATTTTTTATTATTATGACAGAATCTGTGACTAGTCCTAAGGTACATTGTAATTGTTGAATTTACCATTTTAAATGTTTGTGTTTTTTATACAACTTAGAATGGCAAACGAGCTGACGACCCACCTGATGGAAAGTGGTAACCGTTGCCTATAGACATAAGCAGTATCTTGAACATAACAGAGTATACTGTTTGGCTCACAATACCCCCTCCCCCCATGTGTCGCCATTCCTGAGGACTAAGGTGTTATGCCTCTGAACCCTGTAAACTCATTGCCATATCCCACCCTTCAAATCGAAACACAGCCATGCAAACAACTGCTTCACGATTGAAACACTAATGGGAAAGAGGTGCCCAAACAAACAACTTCTGTACAAAATGTGTTTTGGAAAAAGAGGTTTTTATGTATAACTATTTCACAGATAACATAGCATGGATTGAAATCCAATTGAACAAAACCACAAATCATAATTAGTTACATGAATATGCATGTATTGTATAAAAAAAAGTCCCAAATGTTTGTTTACTTACCTGGCGTAATGAATGTTAGAAATCAAAGCTATAGGCGTCTTCTGCTGCGTATCGTACAACATGACGGCCCGTTTGGTAGCAATCGCAAGCACCATCCTCGCAGACAGCGGGAAGGCAGGCCTGGGGCCGCAGTCCCGGGGGGCGTAGCGCCGCGGCGACCACCGCGTCACCAGCGCGGCCTCGCCGCATGGCAGAATGCAAGCTGGACTAATACAAAAGTTTTTATGCTTATTTTAAACAAGCATATGGGGTACATTCTGGACATCTTGTAAACTTAACGAATACAACATCTTATCTACAATGTTTCTGGCAAATAAATTTCATTTCATCTGCAAATCATTGTACAGTAAAAATTAAAACATTTTGCTCATTGTAAATATATTATTTTATATATTTAAATGTCAATCCTTTCAAGCAAGGAAGAGAGAACTCCAGAAGATATCAGACCTGATATGTTAAAATGTAATGAGGAATGGTCAACAAAGCTGTTTAAGATTATATTATACCTAATATTATGTTGTCAAGTTATTATAGAACAAATACTTTTGTTTTATATCACTAAAGTAACAAACAAGCATACAGTATATAATAGCTTTTCTAATTAACTGTTGTGAATTAGTGTGATCTTTTTCTTGTAATTTCTATTTTTGTTACGTTTTTTAATGTAATCCTTTGTAAAGAAATATTAGTATTTATGTAGATACTATAATAACACATAGAAATGGCATTTAATTTTACATTATTATTATTTATTGGCCATGTGGTCCTGGCATAGAATAGGCCATCCCTGCCTTTCCCATGAGTGTCGTAAGAGATGACTGAGGGAGGGTGAAGGATGGACAGCAGCATTACTCGAAAAACATCTCTAAAGCCAATCCGCCTGCCAAGCGTAGCAACTACTAGCAAAATTCACTAAAGGGGAGGATTATGTTCAGCAGTGGACAGTTAAAGGTTGATATGAATGAATAAATAAATAATTATTTAAAAATCGATTTAAGACATTGTTTAAATACTCACACTTTTAAGGAATATCTTGTATAAATATATACAGCATTAATAGGCTTCACATCCACTTTGCCTTGCTCGGGTTCTATCCGCCCAGCCGGTACAGCTATCAACAGCCCGTCGGGACTGAATTGTAATCTCCGATAGAATGTCTGCAAAGTGTCATCATGGTACAGACGAACCTTCACATCTTTAAGGGGGTGGTCAGAGGGAAACGGCAGCACTGCTTTGCTGCTTCGGGAGACAACTTTCTTAGTATTTACATCAAATGTCCGAAAGACTCTGAAAACAAAGAACATAAAGAAATAATAATATTTATATTATTATATGAAATTCTGTCTATTTATATAGTAAAAACTACACTATTTTGATCCTGAATTTATTTATCAAGCAATTGATAAATTTTATTTAGATTGTAAATTCAAAACAATGCAATAATACTATGAAAATAGTCTGATGTGATTGAGATGTAGAGAGAGAGAGAGTACATAAAGTGTCTTAAACTTTTTAATAAAAACTATTTAATTTGATTAAGATTAGACTGATTTGTGTTGGCTCAATTAGTAAATAACTGTAGCTCCAAGATGATCAGTCTACTTAAGTATTTAATATTATGAATAAAAAACTCACACACTATAAAAATATGCTAAGAAAAAACTACTACATTACAATCTTTTTTTTTTTTATACAACTTAGAATGGCAAACAAGCTAACCACCCACCTGATGGAAAGTAATAACTGTCGCCCATAGACATGAGCAGTACCATGGACATAACAGAGTATACTGTTTCGCCCATGATAACCCCCATGCATTGCCACTCCTGAGGACTCGGGTGTTATTCCTCTGTACCCAGTTAATTCATGCCATATCCCACCCTTCAAACCGAAACACAGCCATGCAAACACAACAACAGAGGTACCAAGGTAGCAATCGACTTTTGTACAGTCTTCCTCTATGTCATTTGGAGGTCATCATCATCATCTCTATGTCACCTCTATCTTTTGGAGGAAACAATAAAGAGTATCTATCTATCTATCTATCATTATTATTTATAGTAAATCATTAGCAATTTATGTGTACTCACCTATCAGTGCTAGCTGAAGCTATCAGCTGTCCTTGTGGATCCCAGGACACACCCTGTACAAAACCCTTGTGGTCTGACAATATAGAGCTGTATCTACCTCGAGCCACGTCCCACACCAGTAACTTATTGTCTACTGAACCCGATGCTAGATGTGCAGAGTTCCTGCTCCAACTTATATCCAGAATATCTTCCATATGACCCCTGAGAGTCTACAATGAAAGTGGAAATATTAGCAACAGATCTTCATATCATTAAATGTCAACCGAAAAACTACATTATTTCTTATATTCCTTCATAAAAACTAATATTAATATAGTCACTTGAAAAGCTTTCCAAATTCAATCATGTTTATAAAAATAGATTTGTTTACGAGCACTTTTAAATTGTATTTTTTATTTAAGTCTACAGCAATGTTCAGGGTATTTGTTATATGTTGAGAAGAGAGCCCACAAAAAACTCTACAGTTATTCTTTTAATCGCTTTCTTCATTATCTTTTTTTAGCAATCATTCACCTTTCTCTTGTAAATAAATTTAAAAATGTAAGCAACCAACCTTGTGTATAACCCATGATTCCTTGTATTGTTCCTCAGGTTGTTCTAAATTTTGTACAGGAGGTTCTTTATCAGTTTTTTGTTTCCAAATGAATATAATAGATTCATCATCCCCTGAAGCCAAAAACTGACCGTCGGGAGACCATCGCACGACATTGACGGCTTTCTGATGCCGGGTCAAGTCCGCTGCTACTTCTAAATTCACAGACCCCGATTCCGTGATAGAAATATACCATATCTAGAAAAAAGGTTATTGATTAGTTAGGCTTTAAAAATAATTTGCTAAATTTATAATATTTACTTATCACACAATAAGATATAGAATAGAACAATACTTACCAAAATATGAGAATCAGTGCCTCCGGTAGCAAGTCTTAAAGGTTCACTATCTTCACATCTTGGTTGAAAATCTGCACTTAGAACTGGGTCCCTGTTATGCCAAGATATTTCAGGAATAGCAAATTTCATTTCTAGTTATATTATCACTACTTGTGTGAAAAAAATTAATTCTATAAAGTTATAAATACAAATAAAAAATTATTAAGTTAGTCATAAAGTGTCAATTTTAGCGCCAATACTAATTTTTTAAATTTTAACACGGGTCATAGAGATATATACGGCCTTGGATACTAGGAAGAAGAGTGTTATAGTTGTGATTCTGCCTGTTGACGTTTGAGAAGGGAGACAGAAATACACATTACCATTTCGTTTTGATTTGATTTCTCTAGTTGATAAATTAAAAAAAAGGAACGCTGAAGATTATTTTAAATCTACGATCGATTGCGATTTCGAAACAATTAATATTGCAACGATTATTTGATTAGGCAACACTACTTGTTCAAATGTCACTGTCAATTAGTATTTATATTCCTTTTTGACGTTTGTTAATATCGTGTTGAAGGAAAATCGAAAATGGTTCGTATTTTTTTTCAATTTTTATCTATTTAAATCCCAAAATGTTGTAAAGGAATTATGATAAATTGTTACTAATAGACTTAATCAAAAAATTATCTATCAAATCGCTCTTATATTTTGACTTTTAATTTTCAAACACAGGTGAACGTACCAAAACAGCGTAGGACCTACTGCAAAAAATGCAAGTGCCACAAGACTCACAAAGTGTCTCAGTACAAGAAATCAAAGGAAAGGCACGCTGCGCAAGGTAGAAGGCGTTACGATCGTAAACAGCAGGGTTATGGTGGTCAGTCCAAACCCATCTTCAAAAAGAAGGTTAGTTTTCAACATATATTACTGTGTACCGCCGTAATAAATACTAAGCATTGCTTCTCGAGGAAATCTTTAACTACCATTATCAAAGGAACAAAGATAAATGTTTATCCCAAATAATAATGTGAAGTTATTTTGACATTTAACTAATGTTTGCCGTGTCCTAATAAGTTTCATTTTGTAATTACATCTGTAGTGTTTAAAGATGTAAGATCTTATAACATGTGATAAATGATTGAATTGAATAGATATGGCAAAATGATGCAACTAAAATAATCTAAAAAATACTTATTTATGTAAACACTATCTCGCTCAAAAAACTTATTACAAAGTACCTGAATATTATTTAAATTTTACAATAAAACTATCAATATAAAAATTACATATAATTTGAAATTTTTATTATTTCTTGTAAATTAGTGGACAAAAACCTACTATGTTACATCAGCTATATCTTTAAATAGTATAAATCAATCACAGGTCATGTTCTTAAATATTGAAAATTGTTACTAAATTATTTAATAAAAAAATATAAACAGTGAAGTTTAAATCAAGTACCTTTAACTGAATGAATTATATATAATATATATGTTATTCATATATATTTAAAAAATATATATGAATAACATATATATTTTTATGCGTGGATTATATGCATTCATAGTCAAAATGTAGATCTAATAAAACAACACTAAGTAAGGACTAGGCATAATAGTATCTATGTATAAAAAAAAGTTAAGAGATATTAAAAGTAATAAATTTTTTCAGGCAAAAACCACAAAGAAAATTGTACTCCGTCTGGAATGCGCCGACTGCAAAGTGCGATCACAGGTGGCACTGAAGCGTTGCAAGCACTTTGAGCTCGGAGGTGACAAGAAGAGGAAGGGACAGATGATTCAGTTCTAAGCTGGCTAATAAATAAGTTTAACACTTAATATTCTCTTTTATTTTAATGGTTAAACATCAATAATACAATATAATATTCAGCCTTCATTTTTTAATTATTCCATTTAAAATCAGTTATATATATATATATATATATATATATATATATATATATATATATATATATATATATATATATATATATAATTGCAAATGAAAAGAAAGTAATGCACTTTTCTTGAATTATTGTGTTGGTACTTAATAATTTTAAATACTGCTAATAATTAATTCCTACAAAAAATATTAATGGTCATAATAAATAACAAGATACAAATTTTGCTGAGTCAACCATGCCAAATATGGTACATCAGATACCTTAGGTTACCAAAACATATCCTGTTGGTAATGAAATTTATATGTAACAAAAATTTCTATGTATATTTATTTATTTATTATTATTTGACAAAAAATAAAGTTACAAACAAGATACAATGGATAAATACATTGGAACTATAATAGATTATATAACATACAAAAATATGATAAAACATATGTATCTTATGTGACCATACATTGTGGTCAATACTGAAGCTCAATTTTTGGTATCAAAAATAGTAATTACTACTTGCATTACATTACAGCAAAATCATTATTTCAGGGATCAGTATCAATTACATTCTACAAAATGAGCATTCCGTTAGTCATTAATTTTTTTTATCTCATTATTTAGAGGCGTTTATCCTATAAGGATATGTCAGCCTCATCATACCCTAACCCTATTATAAAATACCTCGCATACTTAAAACATTGATACATAAATGAATAATACACAATATGTTAGTAGTCTATTTTCATAAAGGGAATTATTGATACAAAAATATAGTAATAGAGTAATTTATGAAATTGAAATTTTAATTCAGTGATTATTTTGTTGAATAGTATCACATAATAAACGTTTTATTCTTACAAAAGAAATTGTTTACATAATAGTAAAAAATTTACAGACTAACATAATAAAATGTACACTTCTAAACTACAAAAATTATGTATTTATATCATTTATTGACAATTTTTTCAAGTACATTAGGATCTAACCCTTCCATGGACACTTTTAACTTGACTGCTTGCAGTGGAACACCGACTTGAACCATTTTAACAAATCTATCATACTCAGGTTGGCTCTGGCTCGTCTCCTTGCTCTCTACCTCTTCATTCACATCTTCTGAATCCAATTTTGTATTGGCTTCATTCTGATCGACCATGTCTTCTGATTTTGTGACTGTGTTTTGTGTTGGCTGGGTTTCTGTTTCTACTATGTTTGCCTCGGGTATAGATGACAACTGTCAATAAAGGGATATAAATATTACATGGCCTAAAAACTAGTTTTGCAGGTTACATGTTACCAAACATAAGTCTGAATTGTTCTTCAAGTTTAGAAAAAACAAATTAGTAATTTAATGTATTGGTCCCATAAACATTTAAAGATTAAATTTTAAAATATTGTTAGATTTACATACCTAAATAAAGAATTCTCAGATAATTAAGAATTAATCAAGTTATTCAAGATTTAAAGGTTAAAGTTAAGATAACTAGAATCTAATGTTAAATTTATATGAATATGTACTAACTCTAGCTTCTAATAACACCATGGCAGCTTCAACCTTTTCGAGTTTCCTTTCAAAGTGCATTAATTTTTGTTCGCATTTCTTCATAAAATGATTCATAAACTGCACTGTAGTTACTAAGAAATGATTTATAAATGCTAATGTACGCTTCTGTTGCAATGCCGCCACCTAAAATGTTCAGTTTAAATTTAGATTATTGAAATAAAAAATGGTCTTGCAGCTTTATTGAAAGACTACTACCTTAGTCAAATCTAAATTTGCAATTTCTTCTTTCACCATTGCCTCTTGCATTGTCATTATATATACAATATTACTTACATACAATCGGAAAAAAATTGTTCACTGGTCAAATGAAATCTATTTCTAGTTATATTACTGTATTTGTGTGTTTTGGATTTTAAATTGAAATTTAGTAAAACAAACAAATTGACAATTATTAAAATTGGTTGACTTTGACAGTTACAAGAAAATCCGTAATAAAATTTTTATCAGACAAGCATCCCTTGAAACAATTTTTTGAAGATTTATATTACCTTCCTTGACCAACATTAAGTTAATTAAACCAGGTCGATATTTTAAAAATAGTGTGTTGCAGATTCAATTTAATATGTAAGAATGAATTCTTTTTATTAGTGCACGTACTGGCCACTTATACTTTTTTACTATTAAAAATGTAATGCTTTCCATCGATTCTATTTAAATTTAGTAAAATGGATGTTGGAAATATAATATGTATTTTATTTATCTCGTCGTCCTTATAAATATATAACAGTTTAGCCGCATTTGCATCGCAATTATCACAATTTTCAACATAATGCTATATTTAAAAATGCGAGAATAACATTATTTATTAGAAGAAAAAACATTTTCAACAAGATATAGCTTTATTCTTCTCTCTCGGATATCCTCAAATACGGATACTGATATCCGGAACATCGTTATTCCATACATTGTGACATGTTAAAGGAACGTGTCATTAGTCACGTTTACAGATATAAGGCCAGTTTAAATCAATCCGTTTAAAATGAAAGAACCCCTTTTAAACCGAAATAAGCTCTTTATATAGACTTAAAGCGGTTGGTATTAACTATGTTTTTCTTAATTTTAACTCTATGTTTTTCTTAACTATGTTTAACTTACATTTTATTGAATCCATTATTGCTTATTATTACAATATAATCCTAATTTCGGATATAACGGAGTACCTACAAAATCTATAAAGATTTTTAGGTAAAATATAGATGAGGCCTGCTATAGATAACTACAGTTGGGTTACTTTTAAAAGTCCATCCTAACAGTTCACATGTCTTCTACTGAATTTAGATAGCTGAAAATGAGCTTTTAAATGTAGACTTCTAATTGTAAGTACTTTCGCATGCAGTTTACTAGCCTACCTATCAAATCTAATAAGTTACTAGTTAAACACAGATTGAAAATAAGAATAAACTAAAATATAAAATAATATATTTGATATGACAAGTAGGTATACGGTATACCTATATACTTAAGTTTTCGTGTAGGAGGTAATATAGGTATACTTTATATTGATTTTTCTATAAACTAATTAAAATTAAACATGATGTCTGGTGACCAAAAATTATCCATAATGATGAGTAAAACGTAGTTCTTATATTTTTGTAGGTGAGTTGTCAACAGTTTAAAACAATTTATTTAGGGTTTAAAACGGCAACATTTTATTTAAAACGTTTTAAATCTGCGATTTTACATCTATAGATATGTTACCATATCATAGTCACTTTAAGAAATTAAAGGGAACAGGAAATGTAATAGATTTAAGATAGAATATTAGTACGTATATTTGTAGTGAAAGTAATTTTTATTTCGACAGAACATTAACTAAAAACAAGTTGCTAGGTAACGCACAGATAAAGAAGAGCACTGTTATCGTTAGACAAAAATCTCTTAACAAGTCACATTTTGATTGAGTATTGTTGCATGTGTCAGAAAAAGATAGTAATGTAGTATACGAAACTCTTTACAAATACTGGTTTGTTTTTCTATTATTGACTTAAGATTGTGACATTCCTTTTCTAACTACTATTGTCTGTAATAATACCAATGTATCGTTATTTTTAGTTGAATTAAACCAATATTTCCCTATGGTCTATATCGTTTTGTATCAATTAATTCAACTAATAAAATACAACTAATTATGTCAAGAAAAAACCGTAACAAGAAATTTGAATCCAAGATGATATCGTCAACTCCAGGGCCGGCTTCAACAAGTTTGTCGCGTTACCTACGGCCGGAAAGATTTGAGTTAGATCCAAGCTCTACCGATGCTGATTTAGAATGGACACATTGGATATATACATTCGATAATTTTTTGTCAGAAAGTATTGGTGAGTTTACGGAGGAGCATAAATTAAAAATCTTGATTAATCACTTATCTCCCAGCGTTTATGTGTACATAAAAGAATGTAATGGTTATAAGTCAGCTATTTCAATTCTAAATAATACTTACATTAAACAAAAAAATGAAATACATGCACGTCATATCCTTGGCACTCGAAAGCAGCGCAGTGATGAATCTATAGATCAATACTTGCGCCAACTTAAGCTTCTTGCTCAAAAATGCTACTTCAAAGATGTTAAAGCTGAACAATATCGATCTGAATATATTAGAGATGCATTTATTGCTGGTATTTCCTCACAAAAAATTCGCCAACGTTTATTAGAAAATTTTGAACTCTCACTTGATCAAGCTTTCAATCAAGCAATTTCACTCGAGATGGCAGAAATTAATTCCCTAGCTTACAATGGTAATTCTTTGCCCCTTAATTCTGCTGATGCCGTTATTTCATCTAATTCACAAAAGAAAACTCAAATATGTTCCCTGAACAACAACGATGTATCTACTGTACGAGATAATTTGGCTGAGTCTACTTTAGCTGCTGCTTCAAATAAAAGAAGATGTTTCTTCTGTGGCAGTAATGTAATTCATCAGCGAATAAAATGTCCAGCTTTGAATAGTACTTGTCAGATTTGTTCTAAAAAGGGACATTTTGCTAATGTTTGCCGAAGTAAACAAACTATGAATGCTGCTGTAACAAACGAAAATGATACTAATTATTCTGTGGAGGTTGCTGCTATATCAGCAGCTTCTTTACCAAGTCTACATAAGGCAACTGTACCCGTTATTATTAATAATTATCGTGCCGAAGCTCTTATCGATACCGGAAGCTCGATAAGTTTCATAAATGAAGAATTGGCGCAACTCTTGAAATTGAGACAGAAACCTTGTCAGCAAATTATTACTTTAGCTTCACTTAATCATACATCTCCAGTCACCTGTTACTGTAATGCTACTATACAATTATATAATTACTCTTACAGCAATGCCAAGTTACTAGTTGTACGTAACTTATGCACTGACATTATTTTAGGTCATGATTTGCTTAAAAATCACCATTCTTTAGAACTCCAGTTCGGAGGTCCCAGAGATTCTTTGAAGATATGCAATGTTATGGCTGCAAATTTACCTAACGCAACTCTATTTTCAAATTTGTCGCCTAATATCAAACCTGTGGCAATAAAATCAAGGCGCTATAATGATGATGACCAAAAATTCATTTCTGAAGAAATTCAAAAGCTATTAAAAGATGGAATTATAGAGCCAAGTATGTCATCTTGGCGAGCACAAGTCCTAGTAACTGGTGGCGGTACGCATCGAAAACGTCTTGTTATTGACTATTCACGAACGATAAACAAATTTACAGAACTTGATGCGTATCCATTGCCGAACATTGAATTTCTTGTATCTAAAATTGCTCAGAATAAATATTTTAGCCAAATAGACCTTAAAAGTGCTTACCATCAAGTGCCGATTCTGCAAAAGGAAAGACCTTATACAGCATTTGAAGCATGTGGTAAATTATATCAATTTACACGTATACCTTTTGGAGTTACAAATGGCGTATCAGCATTCCAAAGAACGATGCAATATATTATTGATAATGAAAATCTTACAGATACTTATGCTTACTTAGACGATGTCACTGTTTGTGGAAAGGATAAACTTACCCATGATGCTAACTTAGCCAAATTTATGACAGCAGTAGAAAAATATAAAATTACTTTAAATAAAGATAAATGCAAGTTTGGCTCTGAGTCTATTAACTTATTGGGTTATACTATAGAGAATAACACTGTAAAGCCTGATAAAGAGCGTCTTAAACCATTACTTTCTATGCCTGCACCTACAGACTTAACTTCCTTGAAGAAAATATTAGGTATGTTTGCACATTTTTCTAGATGGATAAACAATTATTCTGAGAAAATAAGTCCTTTAATAACGAATAACTCATTTCCTTTATCACATGAGGCAAGCAAATCATTTGAAAGTATCAAGAAAGATATTGCAAATGCAGCTTTGGTAGCAATTGACGACACACAAATGTTCACTGTCGAAACAGATGCTTCTGATCATGCTTTGGCAGCAACGCTTTCGCAAAATGGACGCCCTGTAGCATTATTTTCCCGATCCTTAACAGATTCTGAAAGAAACCATTCGTCAATAGAGAAAGAAGCATCAGCGATTGTTGAAAGTCTACGTAAATGGCGTCATCATTTAATTGGAAAACATTTTCTTTTAATAACTGATCAACAATCTGTCTCTTTTATGTTCAATCAGAAGCATACAAGTAAAATTAAGAATGAAAAAATAGAGAGATGGAGACTGGAACTGTCTTGTTTTAAATTTGATATTGTCTATCGACCTGGTAGACAAAATATAGTATCAGATGCATTATCAAGAGTTTGTGCTAGTACATTTTCACGTAAAAATTTATATCAACTGCACAATACTCTATGCCATCCAGGAATCACAAGAATGGCTCATTGGGTGCGTTCTAAAAATTTGCCCTATTCTCTTGTAGAGATTAAAGACATGACTGCGAGTTGTCCTATTTGTGCCGAGATAAAACCTAGATTTGCAAATAGCAAAGGACGACTTATCAAAGCTACTTCTCCATTTGAAAGACTCAGTTTAGACTTTAAAGGGCCGTTACCTTCGAATACTGAAAATAAATATATATTAACTATTGTTGATGAATTTTCTCGTTTTCCATTTGCTTACCCGTGTAAAGACGTATCATCAGGAACTGTCATAACGTGTTTAAAGGACCTCTTCTTTACTTTTGGAACGCCTCTATATATTCATTCAGATCGTGGTGCTGGATTTATGTCACAAGAATTTAAAGATTTCCTACTAAGAAATAATATTGCTTGTAGTAGAACTACACCTTACAATCCGGAAGGAAATGGTCAAGTTGAGCGATTGAATGGGACACTGTGGAGAACCATCCAATTATCTTTAAGATCCAAGAACCTTGACATACGATATTGGGAACAGGTACTACCTCTAGCATTACATTCCATACGCTCTTTGTTATGTACTGCTACGAATGCAACTCCACATGATAAGTTGTTATGTTTTCCCAGACGATCTGGTAATGGAATTTCTTTACCTTCGTGGTTAATGATTCCTGGCCAATACTTTTGAAGAAAAACGTAAGAAAAAGTAAATATGATCCTCTAGTAGAAGAAGTCGAATTGCTAGAATCCAACCCAAATTATTCTTTAGTACGTTTTGCTGATGGACGAGAGGATACTGTATCTAATAGACATCTTGCCCCAATTAATAGATTAGTTGGAGATATAGCTAACACTGACGAAATTGAAAACTCCGATCGATCTCGAACCGATACAGATACCGAGAGCTACAACACCACGACTGAAACCGACAATTTGAATGCTGATGGCACTGGGCCTTCAATGGTGGTCGATTCGTCTCAGCGGCTTATTCGTGAAAGAAGACCACCCGCTTATTTAGGGGATTATGAATTATAATAACTTAGGTTTTTTAAAAAAAGGATGGGTGAATGTAGTATACGAAACTCTTTACAAATACTGGTTTGTTTTTCTATTATTGACTTAAGATTGTGACATTCCTTTTCTAACTACTATTGTCTGTAATAATACCAATGTATCGTTATTTTTAGTTGAATTAAACCAATATTTCCCTATGGTCTATATCGTTTTGTATCAAGTAATATTAATTATACTGTAGTAGCGAGTAAAAGAAAAAATAAAATAACAACAAAAAATATCTTACTCATACTTTCAACCTTTATTATATCTGTTTTATATGTCTGTTGATTCACTATCTTTGACTGGGATTGGTAACATAGTTTTATACACATTTCACATCATTCCAGCAACTACGTTCTATAGTTACTGACGTATTTCTAGTTACATTCATCCATGTCATTTGTTTGTGATTAGTGTGATTTCTGTTTACATCTTGTGTTTTACAATTAACATCAATTTATTTTGAGTTTTGAGTCTTTACAATAAAGTTTTAAAAATAAAAAAATAAAAATGGCAGGAGAAGTAGTTGTAGACGCTTTACCATATATTGATCAAGGTTACGATGATCCCGGAGTTCGCGAAGCGGTAAGAAATAATATTTCTAACCTAATTTTAATTACTTCTAATTTTTTTGTGCTATTTAAGGTCATTAATAAAAACACTGTTTCGTTTAGGCTCTAGGTATGGTAGAAGAAGAATGTAGAAGATATAGGCCAACAAAAAATTACTTGGAAAATGCGGGTCCCGAACTGAGTACAGCATTTGAAACAACAGCTCTGCAGCGAGAAATGGAGCGTGTACAGCAGCGACTACCAATGGAGCCGCTGTCCATGAAAAGGTAGGTAAATTCTTTGATACTTTTTTTTAGAATGTATAAAAATAATTGAATAAGGAAACCACCATTAAAGACTAAAGGAAAAAAAAATAAAAGTTATTTTGGAAAAATGCAATTGTACGTGACATAGAATATCTTTAAGGATTAAGACATGAAAGTGACAGGGTTAATATTTTTTAAAATATGTACATAATGAGACTGTAACATTACGCCCCAAAGGTCATTTAATTTTATTGTAAATATATTTTATGGGTTTATATTGTTATTGTAAGATACTTTTTGATTCAGGGGCAATTTCGATGTGAAGGTCTATCTATCCTATTTAAGAGCTGCACTTCTGTCGGTGGAGCTCTCGCCACTCACTACGATTGTCAGCGAATGTCTTCACCTCTTAATACAACACAACACCAACTTCTTCCTTGATCTGCCTTTGTACAAAAGTCAATTGCTTGGGTACCTCTGTCCCATTCATGTTTCAACCGTGAAGCAGCTGTGTTTGCATGGCTGTGTTTCGGTTTGAGGGGTGGGATATAGTGTGAATTTACTGAGTACAGAGGAATAATACTTGAGTCCTCAGGAATGGCAACGCATGGGGGGTATCATGGGCGAAACAGTATACTCTGTTATGTCCATGGTACTGCTCATGTCTATAGGCGACGGTTACCACTTTCCATCAGGTGGGCCATCAGCTTGTTTGCCATTCTAAGTTGTATAAAAAAAAACACAGAATTAAAATTATTTGTGGAAAAATTATGGTAGCATTATGAGAGACCTTTTAGAATTTTATTCTTGAATGACTTGGGATGGTCATTGAGGGAGTTATATTTTGCTTCTGTTCCCGGTTTGATGTTAATATTGACATGATAGTTTTAATTTTACCAAGTATGTCGTCAAAAAGCGTTCTGTAATTTACTAGGTTGTTTTGTAGTATATATTTTGTATTTATAATAAAGGTCTTTGAACCTGTATCCCAAATCGTTATATCACCATTGATTATGGGGTTTATTTCCTTACAGTCACCACTTTTATCTGTAGTTAATGATGATTAATATATATTTAAAGATTAAAACATGGAGGTAATCAATATGTTTTTTTAAATATGTACGTAATTAAGTTAGAACAGTTATTACTTCATAAAGGTAATGCAAAAACATACATGTGTATGTATACGAGGTTTGTCCGGAAAGTACGTATAAAAGTTTTTTAAAAATTTTATTTTACAATTATTCAGGTAAATCAATTTTATCCCCTTCAAAGTACTCCCCCTGTGACATAATGCACTTGTGCCAACGCCGTTTCCACTGTGAGAAGGCTCCTTGAAAGTCCTCTGGTTGTAGGTTTCTCAGCTGCCCCGTCGTAGCTTTTTTTATCTCATTTATGTCCCCCAAATGCCGCCCCCGAAGTACCAATTTGGTTTTTGGGAACAAGAAGAAGTCACACGGGGCCAAATCCGGCGAATAGGGGGGTGTTCGGTCACCGTAATGGAATTTTTACTCAAAAACTCACGGACAACAAGAGAGGTGTGGGCAGGGGCATTGTCGTGGTGAAGAATCCAACGCCCCTCTCGCGCCAATTCTGGACGAACTCGTGCCACACGAGCTTTGAGGCGTCTGAGCACATCGACGTAGAATTTTCCATCAACTGTCTGGCCTGGAGGGACGAATTCTTGATGGACAATCCCCCGAACATCGAACTCTTTCTCGGCCCTCTCTGAATCTGTCACGCCTGTCTTCCACATTAAAGAAGTAGAAGGAAGTATCAGGCAAAGGTCTTTGCATTACCTTTACATATACGAGGTCTGTCCGGAAAGTTCGTATAAAAGTGTTCTGGAATGCGAGAAAGAGGAGTGGGGTGGCCAGGTAAGCGCAGGACCCCTTCCTTATGTCCCTAACAATGCTTCAGTTCTGGTCTGACCGCCGTGCGGTGCGAACTGGCTTGTCACGCCATCTGTGAAGTTACCTCTTAACGAAACCCCGTCGGCATGGAGCCCGCTTCCGTTGAAGAGCAGCGCGTCGTAATCAAGTTTCTCTCGAAACTCGGCAAGAATGGCCGTGAAATTTTTGCCGATCTCAGAACAGTTTATGGGGATGATGCTGTGAAGGAACCAACCGTCCACAAGTGGCTAAAAAGATTCAGAGAGGGCCGAGAAAGCGTTCAAGATGACCCACGTTCAGGACGTCCTTCCACTTCACATTCCGACGAAAACGTGGAAAGAATTCGAACTTGTGTTAATGGGGACCGTCGTTTAACGGTCAGACAGGTGGCTGAAGAGCTTAATTTGGGCAAAACCGTGGTCCACGAAATTCTAAGAAACGAACTTCAAATGAAAAAAATTTGCGCCAAGATCGTTCCCAAGCTTTTGTCCCCGGATCAAAAATCACGAAGAGTTGCTTGCTGTGAGGACTGGTTGGAAGCCGAAGAGAATGGTGACTTTTTGAACCGAGTCATCACTGGAGATGAGTCTTGGTTCTACGAATTTGATGTCGAATTAAAATCCCAAAGCAAAGAGTGGAAGACATCCGGGGAACCACGAACAAAAAAATCAAGAAAATCCCGCTCAAATGTCAAGACAATGTTGATTGTTTTTTTCGATGTTCGGGGATTGTCCATCAAGAATTCGTCCCTCCAGGCCAGACAGTTGATGGAAAATTCTACGTCGATGTGCTCAGACGCCTCAAAGCTCGTGTGGCACGAGTTCGTCCAGAATTGGCGCGAGAGGGGCGTTGGATTCTTCACCACGACAATGCCCCTGCCCACACCTCTCTTGTTGTCCGTGAGTTTTTGAGTAAAAATTCCATTACGGTGACCGAACACCCCCCTATTCGCCGGATTTGGCCCCGTGTGACTTCTTCTTGTTCCCAAAAACCAAATTGGTACTTCGGGGGCGGCATTTGGGGGACATAAATGAGATAAAAAAAGCTACGACGGGGCAGCTGAGAAACCTACAACCAGAGGACTTTCAAGGAGCCTTCTCACAGTGGAAACGGCGTTGGCACAAGTGCATTATGTCACAGGGGGAGTACTTTGAAGGGGATAAAATTGATTTACCTGAATAATTGTAAAATAAAATTTTTAAAAAACTTTTATACGTACTTTCCGGACAAACCTCGTATATGTATGTATGTATGGTGTTGATGATGATGTATGATACTTTCCATTTCTTTTCATAGGTTTTCAATTAAACTAGTTATTTTTTGTATGTATTTTATATGATATCTATCAAATAGAGATTGATTTTGATGGTTATTTTTTTCATATTCATTGTTACAGTCTTACATATTTACAGATATGAGTTGCCACCACCTCCGGCTGGGCGTCTCGGTGAGCCAGCGGCCTGGTCCGAGTCAGTGGACAACTCACACGCACAATTGTCTCACCAAGCGACTAGAGTATTAAATCTGGAGCTGCAGCTACAATATGGGTCTGAAGCTTGGAGGTCATATTTGAATACACTACAGGCGTTGGTCACCAGGTCGCAAAATATTCACACACAGTTAAGGTAGCTTATTCAGACATTTTTTTCTAATATTTAATTTTTTTTTTAATCAGCATCATCTGGTCAGACTTTAACTGTCCATTGCTGAATATAACCCTCCATAATCTCCATATATATATATATATAGAGAGGAATATATATATATATATATATATATATATATATATATATATATATATATATATATATATATATATATATATATATTTTTTTTTTTTTTCTTTATTGTACTTGTATGCGACGATTAGTTTAACAACTTGGCAAGGGAGGACTTATCTCTGAAAGAGATCTCTTCCAGCCAACCCAGTGTAGTAAGAGAGAAAATAATTTATTTTTGGGTAATCCAGTGCAGAAAAGGTACCAGTGAAAATAATGTAAATACATCAAACACTATTGTGAATAAATAAATAAATAAATACATAAATAAGTAAATAGATAAATATATATAGATATGTATAAGTGCATGGAATTATCATGTACAATTGGTTAAAAGATGTGATTTTAATTTTCTCTCGAAGGAAGTAATGGAAGGATGTTTATTATTTATTATTAACAAATGTTAATACTTGAATACAGGAAGCAAATAGCGTCAGTGAACTGGGAGCGCAAGCGGTCGCAGACGGCGAGCGGCGCACGGCTGCGGGCGCTGCGGCGGCGCTGGGCGCAGCTCGTGTCCGACAACTACCGCCTCGAGAGGGCCGTCATGCAGCTGGAGGGGCAGCTGCACAAGGTACGCTACGCAATAATATAATATAATGGAATGCTAACCCCGCCTGCACCAACCACATACGCTGGCGGAGCACCAATGAGGGATGATAGGTGAGGATGAAAAGGCAGGTCTATTTTTTATGGGTGAAAACGGCATGGTACCTGCGCTATCGGTATACACTGGCGGGGCACCAGTGAGAGATCAGTTAGCCCATTGTGACGAATTCAATGATAAATTATTTAAGATAGTTTCCAAAGGGAACCGCGTGGAGGTCGACCTGATAGGGTACATTGATGGCAATGTAAATGATAGGACTAAGCTCCCCATTACTAATATTCCCTTCCCCCCTAAAAGGCAGGTCAGTTAGTCCATCGTAATGATTACACTGGAAATTCAGCTCGATGTCTTCCAGGGAGATCATATGGAGGTTGATCTGGCTTATATATTGCTAGCAATATTAGATATTGTACAGATATTTGTTATATTCAAAATTGTGTATACAATTAAAAAAAAAATCGGATGAAAATGGAATGGTAACCCGTCTACGTTATTGGTATACGCTGGCGAGGCACCAGTGAGGTCTGATAAATAAGGATGAAGGCAGGTCAGTCAGCCCATGAACATTGACACAGAATACACTGTGACAAACACTGCCATGGGTGTTCATCTGTAGGCATACGTAAGGGCAAATATGCCTTCATAATTTCTGTATTTCACTGCCATATCTCATAGTTGTTTAAAAGAAAGTTCTGTTTAGCAATAGATACATAAATGGGACAGGTATATCTTAATAACAGGTATATACAAATTTATAATTTATGTAAATATATATTTATTTTAATTTTGTACAACTGTTCAGCACTACTACTGCCCACTCACTACTTCCTGTGCCACTTTATTATTTTTTATACCACTGAGGTAGCAAACAAGCATACGGCCCACCTGATGGTAAGCGGTTACCGTAGCCTATGAACGCCTGCAATACCAGAGGTATTACGCGCGCGTTGCCGACCCTAAAGAAAACTCTTTACCCCCTTTTTGAAGAACTCCATGCTGTAGTCTCTCGGGAAAAACTCGGCAGAGTGCTCATTCCACAACCTGAGTGTTATGGAATTTGCCACTGTGTTAGGTCGACTGGAAGAAATCTCTCTTAGAGATAAGTTTGCCTTTGCTAACATTGTTATTCACTTATTGTTGTTACTGTATGTTTTAGTGCAATAAAGTATATATGCATAACTTATGAAAAAAAAAATTATTTCAGGCAAGGGGTCAAGCATCAGCTGGTGATGATGAGCCGGCAGACTTGGAAGCAGTCAAGATGTTACCAGATAAGCTCAATTCGGAAACAGAGAAGGAGGTGCAGAAGAAGATTGAAGACATGTTTGCAGATTAGTCATTATATATAGGGACTTTAGTGTCTATGGTGGAATTTAACATCTTTGATTGTTTATGTAACAATCTGGTAATAAAAATATTGGTTTGAACAAATCAAGTTAGAATAAAATTCAATGTAAATAAAGCAAGATGGCAATAAATATCTGTTGCTGTTCGCGCAATTTATTCTATGGGAAGTCGTGAATCATTAAGTGAAAATTTAAAAAAAAGCAAAAATTCTTACGGTAACTTCAAATACAAATACAAATGAGTTTATTGTGGATCATAGGTCAATGTATTACATGAGTTAAATAGTATCTCTATGTCTTGCTATTTATTTATTTATTTATTTATTTATTTATTTATTTGAAAATTTCTCACTACACTTACAGTTTCCCAAAACGTGTAGTGAGCCAAAGTTTTATTTCACAAACTTACAAATTTTGTACAACATTTTAAAAATATACTTCTTTTGTAATTAAATATGTCAATATCTGGCTGCTGAGCAATCAGAGAATTGAGCAGAGAAATAGCCTGATACGTGGGAGCAAACTGAGCAGTACAGGTACGAACCGGCGGTGCCGATAGTAGTCTACAAGCACGCAATCGCATGCAGCGTTGGGGTGCGTACAAAGAACAACGGCTAAGAGTTACAGGATTGTCTATTCCGCCGTTGAGCAACTGATAATAGTGCATCATCAAATTGCACTTTCGCCTTACCTCGAGCGTGTCTAGACCTACCATACCGGATACGAACAGTGATGGGTACAAATAAGGATAGTAGCCGTAAAGTTTACTATATAGAACACGTGCAAATTTCCTCTGAACTCTTTCTATCATTATCTTGTATTTTGTTTCATGAGGGTTCCAAATAATTGAATTGAATTCTAAAATGCTTCGTACAAATGAATAATATAATAATAATATTGCACCTTTATCTTGAAGTTGTGCCGACTGTCTTATCACAAAACCTAACGATTTATATGCACGACTACAAACGATGGTTATATGATTATTAAAAGTTAAAGCAGTGTCCAGCGTAAGGCCTAAATCGCGTATTTGTGACACACGTTCAAGCGGCGTACCAGATATATTGTAGACATAAGAATGGGGAACACGAGACCGCGTGAATGTGACCGATTTACACTTTGAAATATTAAATTCCAAGTTATTATGTCCAGCCCATGCCACAACGTTGTCAATATCTCGCTGTAGAGTTACACAGTCTTCCATGGTTCCGATAGCCATGAATAGCTTCACATCGTCAGCAAACATGAGACACTGAGCAGTGTTAACAACATCTGGCAAGTCATTGATCATAATTAGGAACTGCAATGGACCCAGGGTACTACCCTGGCTTACTCCGGAGTCGGTAACATAGGATTCAGATCGATAACCATGTAATTGGACGTATTGCGAGCGATCGGAAAAATAACTAATAAATAATTTTAAAAGTTTAGGTGTAAATCCTATCTCTGAGAACTTTTTTAATAAAATATCATTGTGAACGCGATCAAATGCTTTTTTGAAGTCAAAATATGTCACGTCTACTTGTCTATTATGATCCATTTCAGTAACTGTATAATCAACAAAGTTTATCAGATTAGTAGTAGTCGACCTACCAGGTCTGAATCCATGCTGACAGTCTGTCAATTGAGGCTGGACTTGCACCGAAATAAGTCTGTTTAAAATGGATTCAAATAATTTTCCTAAAGCTGGAAGTACAGCAATTGGCCTATGATTTGAAATTTGGGATTTAGAACCATCCTTGGGTATAGGTATAACCCTGGACACTTTCCATAGCTGCGGATAGGTACTTGTTGTGATAGCCAAGTTCATTATATGTAGGAGCGCTTCCTCTAAAACTCTTATGCAATCTTTAATAATAAATGACGGTATACCGTCAGGCCCAATGCATGTCCCCACCCTCAATCGTTTTACTGCTCGCTGCAGGTCGGTTAGCGTTATATTCTCTATAGCGACGCGAGCAGAGAGTTGGGAACACCTTGCCTTGCTTTCAGCCAGATTGCCAGATAAGACAGGTTTATCGTCTAAAAAACTCGATTTAAAATGTTTTGCAAATGCATTTGCAGCATCTATCCCAGTCACCACTTCCCCATCATGATCGTATAGGTCTTGGCCCCTTCTATTAGAACGTTGATTTCGTATAAACTCCCAGAAACTTTTCGGATCATTCTTTATATTAACCTCAGTTCGCGTGATGAAATTTTGATAAGCTATCCTAATTAATTCTTTTGTACGCTGACGATAAAATTTAAACATTTCTCTATTGAATTCTTTACTATATTTTTTATACTTTTTTAAGTGATAATACTTATTTTTTATATTTTCTATAATTTCTTTCGTATACCATCTCGGATATTGATATTTATAATTACTGCAAAAATTTTTAATAGGGACATTAGATTCTAAACAACACGAGTGAAATATATCATAAAAATAATTCAATGCTACATCAACATCGTCACAAGTGAATATCTGATTCCACCTTGCCGAAGCTATCGATTCATATAGTGAATGTAAGTTCGATTTTTTAAAATTCCACTCAGTGACTGATTCATGCGACCGAAAGGTACAAGCGCGCGGACCCGCGTGCCGCGAACGCGGCATCGCGAGGTAGATGCCGAGTGGTGGATGATGTGCATCTGCCGGCACTAGCGGTTTCACATCCTCATACATTTGTACATATTCACTGCTCAGATTGCTTAACACTAAATCTAGAATGTTACCATATTTATTTTTTGTTACATTATATTGATTCAATTTACAAAAAGCAAGCAAATAACTATATTGTAGAATAACATTTTGGCTACAGGAATTTAAGTTAAAGTCGCCCAGTATGACGACATCCAAATTTGAATATTTTGCGATTACATTCTCTAAAACTAAAAACGTATTTAAGTATTTTTCATCATTCGAGTTAGGCGGTATATAAACAACACTGAATACAATTGTTTTAGATTTCAATGTGACAAGTGCCATCACTATTTCAATCTGCTCCGTGTACCCACTAATGTTTAATATTTGTTGGACTTTGTAATGCGAACGTACTGCTAATAGCACTCCACCCCAACCGGCATTATTTGGACGGTCTCGGCGTACTATGGTATAACCGTCGGGGAACACTTCCGCATCAAATATACTACTAATTAAAAATGTTTCCGTTAACGCATATATGTCAGCTGATTCACTGAGTATTGATAACTTACAAGTATGTAATTTAGAACGTAGTCCTCTAACATTTTGATAAACAATTTTGTGGTGTTTATACTTGGGCGGTATCATCGATTTTCTTGCGAAATCCACTACGCCAAGGTCTGATGTAGACATCCTCTATCCAATTTTCAGATGCTAGGTACTTATCTAGATGTTTTGTAGGCACAGATAACTTAAATGACGCATAATCTCCTCGCGACTTCAGCGCTTCGGCAGAACAGTTATCTCCCGGGCAAATGGTTCGGAGATATTCATTAACCTGTTCAACTGTAGTGCCGATTTTCACATAATATAAATGTAAATATGACTTCCGCTGTGCAGCCGACAAAGTAATATTATTGTCAGTAGGGATGGCCGTACCACGAGTAACGTTGACGAGCGAGCGTCGAGTACGCGGTCGTTTTATCTCGATCCATTCTCGCGCGCTGTCCGTTGCCTCAGCCCCCAGTGTCACTCGTCAACGTAACTATAGCTTCGTGGTTATTATCGGGCGTCGATGGGGCACACGGAGTAGGAGGTCCACCTGTTGACGTCGTTGCCCGATCCGTATTGTTTCGCATTGTTGCCTTTTTTGTAGCACCTGCAATTGCTGATGACGCACGAATACGAGCTTCACGGATTGGTCGTAGCCCAGTCTCCGATGTCGAGCTACCCTCACCATCACTAATAATAGATTTCGACGAAACTTTTTCATCACCGATTAGATTTTTAATTAGCTTGTATTGGTCAATAATAACTTTCTCGAGTGATAAAACTTTACTCTGTAGTGAAAGCACTGTTTTAGTTAACTCGCGAATAGCAACTTCGGTACTTTTAGTAGACATTTCTATTTTTTTAGAAACAAATACGTAGAGCCGCACTAACTTGCACGAATCGACGATGCTAACTTACAAGCGTACAATATATGAAACGGTTAACCGTGTATAAAACATAACATTTAAAATTATATAGTGAAACAAAATATATTTATATGAGACATTATTTTGTACAAATGATCACTATTTATCTTTATCATTGATATATTCGTCCAGGCTATAATAACATTTATTTATTAACATATCATGAAGGTTCTTTTTAAAAACATTTACCTCAGTCAATCCTTGTATATGTTTTGGTAATTTATTATAAATTATTACAGCTTTACATAATATACTGTCCTTCATCAATTTTCTTCATCAACTTCACAAGACATATAGGCAAACATATTGTATATATGTGCAGGAATTTTCAACTGTTACTTAAAAAAAAAAAAACGATTTGAGTAATCTCAACACTGGATACAAATACAAACTTGCTGTTCTGTAGCATCGTTTAGAAAAAGTTAATAGGTCTCTTATGGGAATTGGCATTAAATGCTATAATAATATACCGAAGAATATTTTGGATCAAAAACACTTCTTGAACAAAGCCTTTTAACTCTAAACGATTACTCGAATGACAAATGTGCATGGTGTTAGTCGATCGTGCTCTCTCTCTCTCTTCGTCCTCTTCATTACTGAAGGTCGTGTCCTTGAAAGGTGTCCGTTGCCTCTCTTATGATGTTATTCCATTGTGCACGGTCTTCAACTTCACGCATCATGTCGCGCAAGTCGATCATGCACGGGCTGTTTTATGACCATATAGTTTTAGACATAGTACATTTAAATAAATACACATAATGGTAACAAAAATTTAAAAGAGTAACTGTCGAGCTTCTTGCAGCCTCTTCTCAACAGATAACAATTTTCTGAACGCTGTAGTAATTTTAAAAAATGACGATTTAAAAGTGCTTGTAAACAAATCTATTTAAATAAAGATGATTTTGCATTTAAATTTGCAAAGAATTTGTATTGTGTTCCAATATTCATATATATTAATGAATGCTAACTAGTCTAGTGAAATATAAGATTCTGGAATAGTTAAAAAAATTATAAATTTTAGTGGTAAAAAGTGTTCACACAGGCAGATGTCTGAAATGAGACTGTACTTGTAGAAATACAGTGAACTCTTTATATGAGCAACTCATTTGAACCAATTTCAATAAAAAAGGAGGGATTCACTAGAGGGAGACTTTGTACAAAAGTCGATTGCTTGGATACCTCTGTCCCATTCGTGTTTCAACCGTGAAGCAGTTGTGTTTACATGGCTGTGTTTCAGTTTGAAGGGTGGGATATGTCGTGAATTTACTAGATACAGAGGAATAACACCTAAGTCCTCAGGAATGGCAACGCATGGGGGGTATCATGGACGAAACAGTATACTCTGTTATGTCCATGGTAGTACTCATGTCTATAGGCGACGGTTACCACCTTCCATCAGGTGGGCCGTCAGCTTGTTTGCCGTTGTAAGTTGTATAAAAAAAAAATCTTATTGGGAAAAGTTGCTTACAGGGAAAAAAGGATTATTAAAATACTTACCGTCTTGAAAATATTTTTAATTATTTCTCTTACTAAATAAGCTGAGTAGAATAAATAAAATATAAAGAATGTTGCATATAGAGAGGTTGCTTATATATAACGTTCACTGTAATAATATTTATTTATTTATTCATTTAAATTGTAATACGTAGGTAACAATGGATGGTAAAACAAGATAAGTCCTCTATGATCAACCCCATATATCGAGGTATACATATTTACAATAATATAAGAAAAAAACAATTTATATAAAAAAAAAATCAACAATGTCACATTTATAGTAAAAAATTATAATATTATGGAAATTTATTACATTTATCTTCAAGGAAATCGTCAATTGAATAGTATGTTTGTATAATAGTATGTATGTCTGTTTACTAGGTTATTAACATATTTATAAGCAGAAGATTGTGAAGTTTATAATCTATGATTACATACCAGTTCATTATAATTCTATCCATTCATTTTCTGCTACTGAACATTTGTTTCGAATGAAACCACTATTTTGTATTACTGTGGCCACACGCATGAAGAAAAAAAATTGTTACTAATTTTATGCATTCTGAGTTTGTTTTTGTTTTTTTTTTAATTTTTTATACATGTATCTTTTTTTACCTTTTTTTTTACTTTGCATTTGTGTCTGTTGCTGTTTGTGTGCTGTAAGTGATGCAAATAAATTATTTATCTATCTATGTGTTTAGATAGAATTATCTACATAGTGGTTCTGAGAATTGGCCAGCAACTATCACCATGGTAGCATATTTTTAATGTCATCACTCTGTTTTAGGGGAATGGAGTTTCACAACTGAAATATCTTGTTCTCCATTAGTTCTAATAGTTTTGATCCTTGATTGATATTTTGTTAATAATTGTTATGTAGGTAGATTAACGTCCGTGACTGCGCCCAAGACTTGTATATTATTAAGACATGTAAATAATGAAAATAAATGATTGAATCGATCATTGTCTTTCCTGTTCTCTCTTATTTAGGATCGGCCCAGTTTGTTTTTCACAGAACCCTATAAACTGTCATTTCCGATAACACAATTCCTATAATCTATTCTCATAACCGATATCTTTTAAAGTTGAAACTATTATAATAAAAAAAAAAAAAAATTTTTTTTCTTTAAATCTTCTATTGGTGTCCAATATTTGTTTTCTATTAATTAGGTTGTTTTGAATATCATTACAAATTACTATTTTTCAATTTTTATAATTCTGTGCTAAAAAGATACAAAGGAAGCTTTATGCTAAGAACAAGGAATTACATAATCTTTGGTCTTATGCTTAATGCTTATGGGGCAAGATTTTTGTCCATCCATCTGTCAAAGCATTACTCAGCAACTACTTACACTATCGATTTTTGAAATTTGGAATAGTTTTACACATCATTGGTATGCATTCTGTAATTTTTTAATTATGAACGAAAATGGGAAAAAAATATACTATCCTCCCACCTGCTTATCTCCGAAGTTTGTAAGCGAAAATTCTGGAATAATATATAAATATAACAGTAAAAATAAAACGATGTCTCTAATTAGCACTATTTTTGAGAAATTATTAAAAAACCTTCAAAAACAAAGGTCTAGTTATGGCTCAATATAAGAAACTACGATAAGTAAACTAATTTTAGGTACAATGATGACATGCCTTAGGGAAGTGAGGAAGCTGAATAAATTAATTTTGATAATCATGGCTATATAATGCAAGAAAAATGAAAAGAGAGTTTTAAATAATTTAATTATTTTCAGAAATTGCTTTGAGTATTTGAATAATCTGTCATTTTTATATTTATGTGCTCAAGTCGTATACATTTTTTTTTTAATTTGTGCTCTGGTTAATGAGAATTTTATATATTGCAGTTTAAGATTTTTAAATTATATAAGATTAAGCCATGACCAATTAAACGACAGGAACGCAGCTTTAAAATTAACATGATTTGATTGTCATTTGTCTGTCGGACTGTAGTCATCATCTGTCAATTTGTCAATTTTTATTTGAAAATGGCGGACGATGCTTCTAGCAGTAGTGGCTGTGCCGGTAATTTAGTTGATAACTCAATAAATCAAGATGAGTTGATTATGAAACAACAACGAGAGATAGAGAAAGAGGTAGGACACAATTTCCCGTCAGTCCTGTAATTCTTGTAACGAAGTAATGAATAGTATTTTGTGCGAAAATTTGATAACAATGACGGGATGTTTGTGTTTATTTTGCAGATTTCAGAAACGATACCGCTAGTCGGGGAGCTTGAGCCTTTAGCGTCTTTAGAAAAAGAATATAACGAGGATCCGGTGTATCTTTTAAAAGTAAAAGATTTATCATCCAAGTATAAAAATATTAGAAGAACGCGACCCGATGGCAACTGTTTCTTTCGGGCTTTCTCCTATGCATATTTAGAACATCTCCTTAAGGACAAAACGGAGTACGAAAAGTTTTATGAAATAGCGAAGAACTCCAAGGAGATTTTAGTCGCTTTAGGATTCTCCCAGTTTACTGTAGAAGATTTTTATGAGACGGTCAGTGTGTTTAATAATTGAGATTTATAGGTTATTTTTACTTCAATAACTTATCTAATTGTGTCAAAGATAAATACATTACTGAATGGGTTAACAAGACTGTTTTTATATTTTTCACAAGAATTTTATGGAATTTAACTGAATATAAATATGTTTAAAGTCCATACATAATCAGTTATCAACAATAAGAGTACTAGCCCCTAAATTGCATTATACTTTCTTCTAAATCCTTTCTGTTACACTGTCATTTTTTAATATTTCCATAATACTGATTGTTAACACTAATACATGCCTAGGCATGTACAGTACAGGCATAAACACAGTGGGAAAGCCGTGCATATTAATACAGCAGAACTGTCAACATACTACCCTACAAATTTTTATATTCATTGCATAGTTGAAATGCCATGTGTATGACATTATACTTTATTACTATGAGACTGTCTTGTTGTTGCTCTATAAATTTTGTAATATATTGTACAGATAATGGCTGAAATGATGATAAATATATTAAATACTATTTTATTATTTATATATGTATTTATTTAAGACAAACTGACAGCTGTAACAATACATAATTACACACTTTAATAATTTAACAGCCACTTAAGTTTGTACAAATTCATTATACATGTGAAGGTAACACAAAATTAAACAATACTATTGAAAACTACAGCAATATTGTCAATAACAAAGTTATAACTGCACCAACTTTTTTAACACACATATATATATATATATATATATATATATATATATATATATATAAATTATATATGTTAAATTTATCTCCATCCTGTAAGCTTTTTCCCATTATCTAGATTGGCACATCATGTGTTTTTGATTCAATCATCTCACTCATTGCCACACCACATACATTTATATCTCTTTTCACATGTTCTGTCAGTGGCAGATTTTCACATTTGATGTCTGTAAGCTTTAAATAGCTTACAGCTTTAAGCTTTAAATAGTTTATAGCTTAACATCAAATGTGAAATTTTGCTGCCTCTACTAATTGTACAGTTTAGTATCTTAGTTCACAATCATATGTATTAATAAGATTTTTTTTGCCATTGAAACAATTTTATGGACTCAAATTTGCCACCCCTAAACTTTGCTTCTCTAAGTTCCAGCTTATGTAGTCTGTTAGTCTGCTTAAACACCAGTCACTGTATTTCATCCATCTTTTTATGGGTCTAGTTTTTCCCTTGTATCCATTTACTTGCATACTCATCTTTCTCTTATAATGTTATATTAACCCTTCTCTTAGAATGTCTCTCAGAAGGGCTCTTGCAGTTCAAAGATTTCAAGTAAAAATTCTAACTTATTTTTCTAATTTTTGTTGAGGCTTCAGTGCATCTAGGTAACTAATTTCACATTAATCAAAAAATATATTATATAATTTTTAATTAATATAATTTTTATTTTATATTATACAATTTTTGTTTTATATAATTATAGAGGATATATAAAATTGTCTTTTGGTAAGCTTCATCAAAGGTTTGATGAAGAAAGATTTATCACCAGGCTGTAAAACTATATTGCTACTAGTAGTGATATAGTGTGTTAGGGGGAAAGGGATTGTTAGCAATGGAAACTAGTGATCCCATTGCTAGCATTATACTCTGTCAGGTTAACCTCCATGTGGTTTTCTCTAGAAACCAATGTGTTTAATGCTTTATGTATTCATGACAATGAACTGTCTGCCCTGCTTTCATTCCTCATTAGTGCTCTGCCAGTGTATACTGATATTACAGGTGGGATTATCATTCCATTTACATCCATCAAAAAAAAAAAGAAGTGTGTCATAGTCATTTGTAAAAATAATATGTTAATATTGTTCTAGTTTATGGAAGTAGTCCAAAGAGTTGGTGAACATGCTGGCGGCTCCCCGGATAGATTAGACGAGATCCGTGCAGAATTGCACGAGAAGTTCAACAGGCAGGGGCACTCTGACTACATAGTGGTATACTTGCGTCTCGTCACCTCTGGCCAGTTGCAGACTCAGCAGGATTTCTATCAGAACTTTATTGAAGGATCGCGCACTGTCACAGAGTTCTGTAGACAGGTTTGTTGATAAAAAAATGATTTTTTTGTTGTTGCATGTTTATTTCAATAGTGACTGTCTACAAATATCTCTAGCTACCTCATTAGGGATTGTAGTCATGAACATATTTATTTAAAAGAATACAAGTAAATTTTGTGCCACACAAACCAACTTCAATTGTGGTAAAACTAGTCATTTTGCTTTAAAAACTAAACTACTGAATTAATTATAAAATTTCTATTAGATGAATCTGATAATATAATCCCATATTTAGAACTAACAGAATTTTTCATCGTGCCTCCCACCAAACTGTTTATAATTACTGCTCTCCATCCAAAGGTTGCCTGGAAGCTATCGGTTTTAGCTATAAAGTCGCCCATTGTTTTTTCATTGTGATAATTTCTTGTAATTTTTTTTTAATAAAATTTTTGTTGAGACTTTAGTACACCGGAGTGACTATGCCAGCCTCATAGGGATTGTCTGAAAGTCAGTCTGTCAGTCCGTCAGGGATACCTTTACCCACAGATATAGCCGTCTTGCATTGCGACTGCCAGGTTGACCCAGTATTAAATTGACATTACCGTTATATAATGCTTTTAGCGACAAGATCGCCCATTGTTTTCTCATTGTGATTATTTCTTATAATTGTTTATATTTATAATAAGTTTACTATTGTAATCTTTTGGAGGAAACGTTAAAGTCTCTATCTATCTGAAAGTAAGATAAGAAAATAATTTTCCAATACATTTTATAAATGATGGAGTTCAGAGGTAAGAAATGTACGTAAAAAGAACAAAGTACAACTAATTTTAGTTTTCATTCTGCAGGCATCTGAATGAGTTATTTTAGATAATTGAATATCTCCTGTAGACTTTGCATTCTTTTAAATTTGTAGTTAAATAACATCATAAACAATTACTGTATCACTGCTGTGTGTACAGCGGAGGACATTGTCTACTGTAACTATGCTAATAGTCTCCTTGGGGGGGGGGGGGGGGGATTGTTAGTGATGGAGACTAAAAATCCCATTGCTAGTAATATATCCAACCAAGTCGACCTACTCGCGGTTTTCCCTGGAAACTATCATGGTTAATTCCTGATGAATTCATCATGAAGGGCTAACTGGCCTGTTTTCATTCTCATCTATTACCCTTCACTGGTACCCCGCCAGCGTATACAGCGCAGGCGGGGTGACCATTCCATTTTCACCCATCAAAAAAAAAATAGTCTTCTATGTATTGGCTTTTTTTTAGATTTCCTTATTATGTAATGATATTGAAATATGTAAAGCCAATTTAGTATTATATATTTGGCACATATACAGGTTTGGTATTACTAAGCTAATTTCCAGTAAATTGTCATAATTAAGGTACACGGATAGTATCAAGCTAGTTGAATACTCTTGAAAAAAAATTTTGTATGGGATCGTTAAAAAAGCGTGATCGAGAGGTTTCTTTGCCTCATTTTTGAAGAACAGCAACCCACACGTAATGCCCCCTCTCTGGTATTGAAGGCATTCGTAGATTATAGTAACCGCTGGTGGGTGTTATGTTTGTTTGTTACCTTAGTGGTATAAAAAAAATTGTAAGTCCATTCGGTTATTTCTACAAAAAAATTTAAAAAAAAATATACACTTAACAACTTTTGTATTTTTGTACGAAACTTAACAATATTTTGTATATTTTTTACAGGAAGTGGAGCCTATGTACAAGGAGTCTGATCACATTCATATTATAGCCTTGAGCAATGCGCTAAACGTCGGCGTCAGGGTGAAGTACATGGATCGCGGAGTCGGTAGTCAGGTAGGTGTGACATGTAAACGTTGGACTGACTAGTTCTTTTTTTTTTTTTTTTATAAAAAAAAGTAAGAAAGAAAGAAATATTATTATTCGAGTAAACTTAGATTTAAGCATTTTCGAATAGTCATTTTTCATTAACGCCCATTCGGAACGCATTTTTAGCTAAGAACAGATGATAATAAAATGGCAACCCTAATAAATTGGGGTACCAATTCTCCAATTTCAGCGTATACCGATTGAGTAAGCGAAGTTAACATTACATTTTTAGTCTTACCAGATAGGGATTTTGTACAAAAGTCGTTTGCTTGAGTACCTCTGTCCCATTCGTGTTTCTACCGTAAAGCAGTTGTGTTTGCATGGCTGTGTTTCGGTTTAAAGGGTGGGATATGGAGTGAATTTACTGGGTACAGAGGAATTACACCTGAGTCCTCGGGAATGGCACCGCATGGGGGGGGGGGGGGTATCATGGGCGAAACATACTCTGTTATGTCCATTGTACTGCTTATGTCTATAGACGACGTTTACCATGATAGATTTTAATGACCAGCCAGGACAGGTTATGTCCCATATTTTTGAAATCCTATGGAGACCAACCGGACACAACGCGAACTGTGAGTGAAGGATTGTAGAAGTTATCTAAGAAATGTGCACTAAGTGTTAAAAAGATACAATGTAAACGCTGTTAAATCAGCAACATAATAAACCGTCTGATTTTATGGACTTCAAATAGCGTTTTTCACCGTCCTGGGTGAAAGTTCTCGATAGTTATCTCTGCACGTCCTAAAGGTTAACTCTTAGAGGTTGCCTATAGTATTAAGTCCTTTTGTACCACTTTTATTGGTCAATAAAGTTTTAATAAATAGTTTGTCCCTTTAAGTGGAAAAAGGTGGCAACCCTAGAGTCCAATTACCTGTGCATTCATGCATATCGGTTGTTATTTTACTTATAACTGCATCTAACGTTTTACAGGTGATAGCTCACGACTTCCCGGAGGGCGCGCAGCCGCTGGTACACCTGCTGTACCGGCCTGGACATTACGATATACTGTACGCGTGATCTAATTCGCATTAACAATAAACTTAATTATTTTATTCACATCCATGTTTTATTACCATTATGTCTATAATCCTGCTACTGTTTTAAATATGAAAGGTTGTGAGGAAATTTATTACATGGATAGATTACATATACGAAGGTTGGCAACCCTAGCTATATCATAAACTTAGCATATGGGTTTGGGCTCGACAGCTTACAAAGGGATATTATTCCATAAATAAAGAGTAAGGTAGGTAATCTCGCGTTGTCACTTGTTTTCTTTTTCGAACGGTTTTGCAGACTTCTGGTGCTTTCAAGGATTACCAGAGGCCTGTGGACTGGTTGAGAAGCACTAATATAAACATTCATAGCTAACATGGACCCAATAAATCCGTTATTGGCGGACGTGCGGAGCAGTAACAATATTGGTATCAAATATAAAAAAGTTAACTTTGGAGTGAACATTGCAGATCAGTGATATTTTTTTTTTCGCCGTCAGGAGAAGCGCTGGACATGATCAAAAGTTACCCAGGGACCATAGATAGGCTAAAACCGGGCTTATATGGGCCTCCTCCATATAGACGGTCATAATGAACGAGTTCCTTGTTTGAGGTTGTATAATGACGACGCAATTTAAAGAATGGAGAGTTGGTTCTTTCCATTTGTAAATATCATTATATAATTGTGTAAAAGTAAATAAAACAAAGACTAGGTTGAAAAATGCATGTATTATGACATCGGGACACGAAAAAGAAAATTAATTACGCATAACTAAAGACAGGGAAATGCAGTTAAAATTATTGGATATAAAAATACAAGTTCTTAAATCTATCGACAGTTTACCTACAGAAGTAAACACCGTCGGGTTCTCGTTTGGCTTTAATTCCTGCAAAAAATGCTTTAATATCATCCTCCTTCACGACTTCCTTCCTGTCTTTGAAACTTTTCAAGAAATCTAACAGTTTATCTCTCATTTTATTATATTCAGTCAAGGCATTTATTTGCTGTATCCTGTCTAACGATGATAGTGCTTGTAAGCCTTTTTCGTATTGCGAAACTGAATTACCTTCATTCCGCTCCTTACCCAAAGTTTCGTAAGCCGTCACAGTGTCCTCAGGGTCGATTAAAAAGAGAACAGACAGATCTTTGTACATTGAAATGCATTCATTACAAGTACATAAATTTTGTCGGAAACTAGATGGCCAAAATGTGGCTCCTTTGTATAACTTTTTTACTCCTTGAGGCCTCACACACGATTTTGTTTCTTCCAATTTCGGCTTTTTCGCAGAGGCTTTTAGTAAAGTGTCTTCTGACAGCTTTCTTTTATTTTCATTTGTCTTGTCATCATCTTCTATCACAGCAGCTTCATTTGTAGTACTATTAACTGTAGAGTCAATATCATTAATTTTATTTGTATTTTGGTCAGTTTTAGCTTCACTTGTAGCTATAACTTTATTAATTTCATTGTCTGTATTCAAAGTAGAATTTTCACTTGTTGTATCTATCATGTCAACATCGTTAACTTCATTAGATTCGTTTAGTTGTATATTTGTGCTTTCTGAAACTGTAATATTCGTATTTGTATCGTCTTTTTTCATGTCAGTACTTATTTCTGATGTATCAGTCTCATCATTTGCTTTTTCTGTCATGTTATTTATTTCATCAGATTCTTTCAATTCTACTACATTTGTAGTTTCCGGTACAGTAATATTATTATCTGTGGTATCTACATCATCTTTTTTCATTTCACTAGTCGTTTCAGATATCACAGATTCTTCATTGCTTACTTTTTCTGTTACAGTTGATGTATTTTCAATTATAGGGGTTGTGTCAGTCTCTGAGTTATTTGTATCTTCCGTTTTACTGTTATTTTCTTTTTCACTATCTATTAAATTAGATTCATCTTGTTGCATAATATTTTCTGAAGTTGATTCTACATTTTCAGTGTTATTTTCAGGAAGTTCACTAGTTCCATTACTTGTTTCTGAAATTGTGTTTTCAACTGATTCATGTGTTGGATTATCCAAATTTAGATTTTGTTTTGGTAAAGTAAGTTCATTTACTTTTAATTTGCCGTCATTTTTATCAATTTCAGAAAGATTACCGTCAATAGTAGACTCCATGTGATCAACACTATCCTCTAATTTTTCTTGTTTTGTATTATCAATATTTACTTCATTAATATTTTTTAAATCCGAACTAGAATGCTCTGATTTTGTAAAAGCTTCATTTTGTCCATCATTGATTTCATTAATTTGATCATCTTTGTCCATATTATCCACAGATGGTTGGTTTTCTGTATTAGTAATATTTTCTTCAGCATTTACTACTTCGGGTACAATTGTACTAGAATCTACTTCAGTGCCCTCTACAGTAGTATCTGCAGATTGAGGATTGTGTTCAATATTTTTGTTATTCACTGGCATATTATTTTCTTCAATACAATTATCATTTTCAATTTCATTCTTATTCAATTCAGAGTTTATTACACTGTCTGTGGGATCTTCTGGTTTTTTATCAATATTTCCTTCTATGTTATTAAAATTGCTCTCAGAATTTTTATTTGTATTATCAGGTTTGCTATCTATCATATCCACATCCTCTAACCCATTTATGGTTTTGTTGCTATCTAAATTTCCATTGGAGATTGTATCACTAATCATGCTAGTATCATTGGTTGTTAATATGTCAATATCACCATATTCAGTGTTAACAGCAAAGTTGCTGTAGTCATGTAAAAATTCATTCTTTTCCATGCATGCTTTGCATATCATTTCAGAGTAATGCTCATTTGCTGGAACTGTTGCTTCGAGATGTGCCGCATGAAGCCAATCTTCACAAATGATGCACTGGATCATCTCATCTTCAAATGTGGCTTCAGGATCAGGGTAAGGTCGGTGACAAATGCAATAAAGCCCACTAAAATTCTGATTGTAATTATTGTTTTCATTCAAATCTGTTTTGTTCGGTGTGAATTGACATGGGTTTGAATTGAATTTAGAATTACCACAGTCACAGCAGAAGTTACGTTTGGTATATAACTCAATGAGCTCATGGTTCTCATGACACATTAGGCTGCAAGCGAGACATACTCCAGCTCTCTTTGTTGGATCAGTTTTGGCATCTTCACAGCATGTCAAACAAGCATAAATCGCTTGACGTTTGATATATCCCTGGAATTGAAATTACAAACAAATGAATTTTGTTGTACTCATGTAATTAATTCTCTATTTTAGTAATTTCTATAGAAAATAGGTAAAGAAATTATACTGTTGAAAACCATAATTTTCTATCTTATACAGAAGAGTCTTTATGTAAATATTTTTAAAGAATTTTACACAAAAAATATATATAAATAAGCAAAAATACACACTATTTCACAAAAATACATGCATATACTGAAAGTTTAAGGAACAAGCTTTTTTATTACTGTAAATGTAATTGGTCATTTGGTCCCAGCATAGAACAGGCCACCCCTTTTCCTGTGGGTGCCGTAAGAGGTGACTAAGGAAGGGTGACGAGAGATGGGCAGCAGCATCCCTTTTACAACACATCCAATGCCTAACTGCAGTTGCTAATCTGCTTGCCAAGAGTGGCAACTACTGGCAAGATTCCCCAAGGAGAAGACATGTTCAGCAGTGGGCAGTAAAATAATAGCCGATATGATGATGAAATGTAATTGAATAAAAATTATATAATAATAATAAGTATCATACAATCATACCAATTGCCCTAGTAATTTGTATGATTGGCTTCAACATCCTATATTATGAGGAATCAGGCAAAAAAAATATTAATGAAGGCACAACTTTTTGGCAATAATGTATCTAATATAGGGTGCTGAAATTAATTTCAAATACTCAATTTTCCTTTCGACTATATTAATTCTATAATTTTCAATTGTTGCAAAGAATTTATTGTATAAAAATTGTGTTAATAGAAAGAAAACAAGAACATATATGATGTTTATAGTTATTTTGTGAATTAACACAATTTTTGTTTATAGATAAATGACACAATTATTCATATCAGCTTTAACTGTCCACTGCTGAAAAGAAGCCTATATTTTAGATACAGAAATTAATATAATTAAAAAAAAGAAGTTAGGATGTTTGAAGGTTAACATCTCTGTTGTCAGGAATGGCAATGAGAGATACTATCAAGAGTGACAGTATATTCTGTGATTGCCATGTTTGCGAGTAAATTAGGCGACGGTTTTCACTTTCTATCAGGTAAAATGTCAGCTTGTTTACAAATTCAAGTTGATAAAAAAGTGAATTTCAATGTGGTGACCTATAAATAAAATTGTTCTAGAATAAGCATATGTACTTTTTATTAATTTAGACGTACTATGGTACAATTATAATTAAATATAAATTCGAAAATTTTCAATTTTGCTAATCAATTACGTATGAACTTAAGAGTTCTTACAACATAGGTATAGGTTCGCAGATTGTTTCTTATTGGAGGTTTGTAATTGTCATTATAATAAACAGAATTTTGTGTTGATTGCCCGCGCAAATGTCTGTGTTTCAAAATATTTTATTTGTTTCGTATGATTGAATACGAGTGTTCGTAAATTAACGAAATAAACGTCAAATGTATAAGTCTGTTTCCGTCAAATCGCCAGCCATTTTGAGCACGAAATATTAAGAGACTATAAAGAGAATGTACGCAGTACCTTAGGATATGTGCAATTTTTCTCGTCAGAAGCACCTAGAACGGCATTCGCATCTTCTTCGAACTCTTCTTGTTCTTGTAATACGTCCATCATTGTTACCACTTTTTCGCCTCCAGATTCGGCCATATCAGCCTCTTCGGCAGTGGTTATGCCGTTTGAGGACATATTTGTAAATTAATAGTTCAAAATTACAATTTTTACTGAACAAACAAATTCCCTAACAAAAAAATACAATGAAAGCCGGTTAGAAATAGGCGCCAAGTGATATTTATAAGTCGCACTATGTCGGCAAACGGAAGCAAAAGATGACGGACGGCTGTGGTGTTGCCATAATCATAAATTATACTAGTTGCAATTTGTTTGTAAATGGTTAACTTCGGCTGTAATGCCGACAATAATTTATTATATATTATTAATGTTCTCATATAGTACGGAAAAATAATACAGCTATAATAATTGAGCTGGTGACCTTTAATGATAAAAGATAAATGTTTTACATACATACATACATATCTGTCACGTCTGTCTCCCATTAGGGTAGGCAGAAACAATGGAACGCCAAATGCTTTCAATAAATGTTTTCTTTATACAATTTTAATTAAAAAGGTCCATATTTTAAATACATTATCGGGAAATAGGATATAGGGAATACACGATGAAAAATTTGCAGTACCCACATGTTTTTTTTTATTGTCGATGTTTCGACGTGGAGTGCACCATGTTATGGTCAAGACAGGATTAAAAAAATAAGCTGGTATGTAGATATTATTTACCTGCATTTTTCATATGTCAAAAACGCGAAAGTTTAAATATAACTATAAAGATCCAATTTGAAATCTAATAGTCGGTTTGAATGAAGCATATCTATTGCCGTGTATTATCTAATTGTGTAATACAATTTAAACTGTTTTATTTTTGTTTACAAGAGGCAATAGTTATACGCTTGACTGTGTACAACGCGCATTATAATTTAAAATAGATGGAAACCATACTGGTTAATTTTTGTTCAATTGATCACTTTGGGCCAACTAACCTGCCTTCATCCTCATCTATCACCCCGTCTGCCGTGTATACCAATAACGAAAGCGTGGTTACTATTCCATCTTCATCTATTACAAGAAGTTTATGATATTCTCGAAGCTTTTTTTGATAGATGATAATTGGATTGTAACTGTCTACGTTAACGGTATACGCAGACGGTGCACCAGTTATAAGATGAAAACAGCTCAGGTGGAGAATTAATCATGACGGTTTCCAAGTGGAACTGCGTGGAGGTTTACTTGATTAGGTATATTGCTAGCAATGGGGCTATTAGAACCCATTACTAACAATCCCTTTCCCCCCAGTAAGGTTGTCAATTGACGGAGGGGAAAGGGATCTTCCACGACCGACGATTTCGACTAAATTTTTTGATTTTCATTGTCTGCATGAGTTTTTTTGTAATAGATAATAATGGAACGGTAACCCTGCCTGTGCTAATGATATAAGCTGGCGGGGCACCAGTGAGGGATGATAGTTGAGAATGAAAAGGCAACTTAGTTAGTCCATCGTGACGAATATACCTGGAATCCAGCACGATGGTTCTCAAGGAAAACCACGTGGAGATCGGCCTAACAGAATATATTGCTAATAATGGGACTGGTAGTCCACATTACAAATAATCCCCCTCTCCCTGTCTGCATGGGTTGGCCGTGTAGTCCCGCCATAGAATGGCCACTCCTTTTTTCCCCGTGGGTGTCGTAAGAGGTGACTAAGGGAATTTAATAGACAGTGGATGGGCAACGTCCCTCTTAAAACACCACTCAAACCTAACTAAAAAATAAAAAGTTTATTCATTTTACAGAAGAAAAGGTACGTCCAAGTTTTTCCGACCGTCACCAACATACAAAAATCCAGCATCTGGTGACGTCACTTTGTGAAAAAACATCATTCCAGGCCAATAGAGACTTTTCAGATAGGTGACACTGCCCGACTGTTCCAGAGACAAGTTCCAGCAGCCGGCGGGAATATCTTGGTCGATAGAGTCTAAGAAATCCATACTGTAGTTGTAATCTTGTCTGGTGAGGAGGTTGGTGTTCCAGCGTTGCTGCGCTGGTCGGATGTGCAGGTACGACTTGAGTTGCTTAGCCTCCGCCGACGTCAACCCACTGTAGCTTGGATTGATCACAACTGTCCCATTCGGCTGCTTGATCAATTGACCTCTAGTACATATTTCAGCTTCATCACAAATATTGTTTATTGTGGCCGCCAGGCGATTTTCCTCCGTCATGAACTGACACCTCTCTGGATGGTTTTCTTCCAACGATTCATCGAGAACTTTAATTTTGAGCGAGGGATCCCCGCGGAACGGGTAAGTCGTGAGCAAGGAAAGAAGTTTATACTTCTGCTTTGACTTGGGGAGGAGGCTCCAGAATTTAAAATCTGTTGTGTAGAAATACTTGCGGTCCGCCATGGCATCGTTGGTGATTCCAACAGCTATATGGTAATCGACATCCACTGCGTATACCTGCCCCCAGTACAGGACATGAGTGAAGTGGTTCTCCGCTTGGAGTAAAGTCAAAGAGTTCTGCAGGAGAGATATTAGTTCGCTCGTCATCATCATACCGTTCACATTTACGTACTCTTTGTACTCCCATAGTTTGTGGACATTCATTATTCATTCAGACAGGTTGTAAGTAAAAGAAGTAGGCACATGAACAAAAACTAGGTTATATAATGACAAATGACAATTTTTTTTTATATTCATTTCATTATCAAAGCCAGTTTGCGTTATATTTATATAAAACCTATTTGAGACGAATTCCAGCACCAAAGGGCAAGGAGTAGCAAATTTTTAATTAATAGTGCATTTCTAATATTTATGTTTTAGTACATTTCTACCTACGACAACGGGAAAATTACGTTTCTACACGCGAAGTATCGAAAAAAGACCCACAGTCTCATATGTCAATTACCAGACATCAAATATTTGCTGGCCCTCTGTCGGTCGTAATTCGTAACTTGACCTATGAGTAGACATATTTATTTTGACCTTTATTATCCACGTAAGGAGACCGCCTTCGTGGATCTAACTAAATTGGCACGGCGCCCATAACTTGAGAGGCAATTTAGTTATTTTCACAGATTACGAGTGATCGTGTTGCTTGTTTGGAGACTCGTGGGTGACGTTTGGAAGAAAATATTACGGTTTGGGGCGTCGTAAAAATTGGTGTTGTTTAACGAATGGGTGGTTGTAATGTTGTTATGAGATTATGACTAGTGTAACTGCTGTACGATTAATGAGTAGTGAAGCAATAAGTTCCTAATCAACCATGTGCATTTAGTAAAATTTTAGCTTTATAAATGAATAATACAGACTAATTATATTTTTTTATAATAATTAAAAAAAATATTATTCAAAAGCATAATTAACTACTACTCGCCGATAGATGTCACAACGTTATAAACGTTCAACTACTGGATGATAGATGGCGAAACTAGTCTTAAAATATTGTTACAGAAAATGCGCGGTCTACAAATTACAAAATACTTAAAAAAAAAGTATTTATTTACTAAAAGTATTTATTTAGGTATTTATTTTTATATGTACGTATTATTTTGTTTCTTTTATTATAGTCACTAAGTAATATACGTCGTATTATTCTATTCGTAATATATATCGTTATAATGTGACAAAGATTTATATATGTAATAAGGATACAACAGTCGTGAAGCAGTTGTGTTTGCATGGTTTCCAGGGGGAACCGCGTGGAGGTCAACCTGAAAGGGTATATCGCTAGTAATGGGGCTATTAGACCCCATTACTAACAATCCCTTTCCCCCCCAAATATCTGTATTGTATAATAGGCTGTATTATATAATAGGCGACAAACTGCGACAAAGTATTTTTGAGGGGGGAAAGGGATTGTAAGTAATGGAGTCTAACTGACCCATTTCCAGTAATACTCCCTATCAGGTCGACCGCCACGTGGTTTCCCCTGGAAACCATCGTGGTTAATTCTAGTGGAATTCGTCAGAATGGGCTAACTGGCCTGGTTTCATAGTCATCTGTCATCCTTCACTGGTGCCCCGCCAGTATATACCGATAGCACAGGCGGGGTTACCATTCCATTATCACCCATAAAAAAAAAGTATTTTTGACACTTCGATATGGGACAACATTTATCCCATATCGAAGTGTCCATGTCTGTTTAATTCAGACCAATATCAATCGTGTACTTTTTCGATTGACGCATTATTTCCTAAAATGGGATATAGTTAGTACGCAATATATTTACATTGTAATTTATTTATCAACATGAACAATTCAACGTTTTATCACAATCAGATTCTATTTAAATGATCCGCCATTGGCGATTTGTCACGTTCAATAGAAACAAAAAAAAAAAAAAAATAACAGTGCTTGTCTTTAAACAAAAGAGGTTGTGTCAACGACAACACGTGCGTCAATTAGCCTCTTCTAACCGTTTAGAGTCTCTTGTCTATGGTTAATGCGAGTGCGATTCGGCACGCGTCCTCCCACTTTACCGAGATGAAGGGGAGGTACGGAACGTGAGGCCATCGCACGATCTACCTCCGTACGATGCAAATGTAGCTGCCTTGCTTGTTTATAGCACGTGCTGCTTATGACGAGAAATAAAAGCATTTTGCACGTGAATTAATAGATATTTCTATTACATAAATAATAAGTTTATGGTATTTTAAAGTTTAAATAAAAATTGAGTAAACTGAAATTTTAAAAATCAGTCATTAATTGTCTACTGCTAGTTTTTTTTTGCTGGGTGAAAATGGTATGGTAACCCCGCCTGCGCTAACGGAATACGCTGGCGGAGAACCAGTGAAGGGTGATAGATGAGAATGAAAACAGACCAGTTAGCCCATCATGATGAATTCATCAGGAATTAACCATGATAGTTTCCAGGAGAACCGCGAGAATGTCGACCTGGCTGGGTATATTGCTGGCAATGGCAATAGTAATGACTAACAATCCCTTTCCCCCCACCGTCTACTGCTAGTTATAACTGAATACATGATTTCTCACGGAGTCCATCGTAAGTAATTGTCCTATCAAGTTTTTGTTTAATGCATCTACATATTGGATTGTAAGAGAAAATATTTAAACTATAGAATTACTGACCTATTGTTATCCATATTGATTTTCCACAATCCTACTAGATTCGAATTGCTTAACGGGCACCTAATTCGCCATATGCGAATTGATCGGTTCAGAGTGCGTATCTTTATTCCGGTTGTTTTCAAACGGCAGGCTGTCAGCGGCGAGGCAGCCGTGCGAGTGAGCAATCTGAATGTGATCATCGCAAAACAATCGTACGTTCCCACAGGCGCGCCCCGGGCCGACCCCACGAGACCTAATCGCCCTTTTTTTCTCTATTTCATTCTTTAGCTTTAATTGTTTTCGAATGAGAGGTTGGCGGCCGCGCCCGCGCCCGCGGCGTCACCATTAACGATACCGCGCCAAATATTTGCCTAATGTGTTCGAAATTTGAAAGTTTATTTTTTTTATGTGTTGCCATTGTTACAACGATAATCTATGTGAAGAGCGAATCATAATAGATCGATTGTAATGTTAATGTTTTTAAAACGCGTTGTCTATAGATATCAGTTAATCCTGTAACAGTTGTAAGTCTTTTTTTCTTTTATAGCTTCTAACAAATTAATACGCATTCACAAATTGAGGGTTAACAATGCTTTCATCATTATTATCTTAAATATTAAATATAACACGATCTTCATCTTCTATGGAAACAATTAAATGACAGGGAACAAAGTATTTTTTATAACACAAAAAGTCTGCATAGATTGTATTATTATATACCTATAGGTATTTATAAATTCAAAAAGATGTTAAATGTGATCTTTTTGAATTTATATACTGTATACAGTAATAATTAGAATATGACAATAATATTTTATTAATATTCAAGTAGATGCATATACATAAACAAAAAAATATATATATATTTTATTATGTCACTATGTTGCATTGGTGCAGTTGAACGCTGAATGTATTGTGTTAGGAAAAACTAACTTTCATCTATTGATTAGATTAATATCTGTAGATTTCTAATCCGACAAAACGAACAATACTCTTACGTAAGGCAATTAAAACACGGGAGAATTGAATAATTTGGCAACACTTAATAGTGCGGTACTAGAGTAATTGAAAAAAAAAATGGATTCCCACAATCGATATTGTAGACGGAGTGTACTTTCTCACAATTTAAGTTCAGGATCTCACGGACGGAGAGCGGTCGAGTGGCGATTCGAGTCGACTCACAAAGGAATTAGGTGTTTAATCGTTAGTGAACGTGGCAAACAGAGGGCTGTACTGTAGATTAAAGCTATTTTATCAAACACAAGCCCATTGTCGTTGCTCATTGGGAGCGTTAGTCGCGTCGCTAATTGCTCGACTCGATTATTATAGCAATATTCGAAATTTGTGCAATGATTTTGGAGTGCCCTTTAATGATTCCAGTAATGAGCCTGAGAAAGAATATCGAGTGATTTTTACATCATGAATTATTCAGTTTTAGTTTGCTCTTGTTACATACATACTTCTAAAGGTTACTTATTCTAAAATTCTGAGTTTCATTCGAACTTACATACATGATTAACTAAGTGCTATAAACTGGATGAAAATTAAATTATTTTTAATTTAAAAAGAAATTAATAAATTAAATATATATATATGTATATAGTATTATAAATTATATAATGAAGTGTTTTCGTGCCTTTTTTTTTAATGTTCAAGAGTTTATTCATTTTTATTAGAATATCGTAGATTATAATAAAAATGAGTTATTATGGTTTTTTATTTCTTTATTATCGATGTTTTTTTTTTTATCGAAAGATTGCCGTAGTCACATTTCTGTAATTTATTAAATTGTGTTCGCAGTTTTAAATAATATATATATATATATATATATATATATATATATATATATATATATATATATATATATATATATATATATATATATATATACCTATACTTATTTATGATATTATTATTTATATTATCTTTTTATAAATTAATTAAAATATCAAATTGAATAATTCAATTCTCATACATACATACATACATATCTGTCACGCCTGTCTCCCATTAGGGTAGCGCAGAAACAATGGAACGCCAAATGCTTCGATTCAAACAAACCTCTTTCGCTTCTTCCACATTTTAATTCTCATACTAGATTCGAATTCATATTAATGGGCTTGTAGGTAATATTATATGTAGCATTTTATAAAATTTTACACACAATTATTAACGAAATTTGTTTTTTGGTTGTTTTTTTTTATTGTCTTGGGTAAATTTTGTTTTGACTGTATTCTAGAATTAAATTAGATATTTTGAGTAAAGACTTCTCAGAACAATAACACTTCTTGTTATAAACAAGAGCCATTCATCTCGTAAACCAAGATTGCGAATCTGTTTACTTGTTAAACAGAAAAGAAACACAAACAAATAAGATGGCCATTCATTTAAATTTTCCCAAAATCTGTCGTCGCGTGTCGGCGCACGCGACCGCGTGTAAATTCAAATAATGTGAACAGTGAGAGCAACAGTGTTGCCAGATCATATGATGGGGTTGCCAACTAAAATAATTGGCGCCCCGCTGGCCAGCGCGCGTTAATGTTTTGATAATAACGAGTACAATTGTCCGGTGTTATGAGGATTTGTTTTTTTTTTTCTGTTTACGTGT